AGGGAGACAAGGCCTAGAAAGGCGCAAAGGTCAAGAGATGGAGAGGGAGCACTTCAAACAATGATTGTGCAAAATTTTTGGAGCGAAATGTTATCAACGGCGCACTGAGAATTGAGAGAGACATGAAAAAAGATGAGGCTGACAAGGCAAGAGATGAAGCATTTGCAAAATAAAATGAGTATGCACACAAACAAGACATGGACAAGAAAGAAACCATGACCACGGATACGAGCCATATGTCCCCTAAAGCACAATCATTTTGGAAGCAAGAACGAAGGGATGTTATGAGAAAAAAGCTTTTCCTTGACGATGGATCTAGCAACACAGATTGGTTAAATTATGAAAACCATTAGGTTGTATTGATAGAGTTGCCATTTCTTAATTAGTTGTATTGATTGTCTTTTATTAAATAAAGAAAACATTCAATAATATAGTTATTTATTTAAAACATTGCATACTTCAAAACAAAGCATAATTCATTACAAAACACAAACTAAACAAAGCATAATTCATTAAAAAAAAACACAAAACAAAGCATAATTCAAAGCTAAGCGTTCAACTGGACTTCATTGACCATGATTGTTTTTCAGGGCCCATAAGTGCTCCATCAAGTCAACTTGATGTCTTTTGTGAACATAAGAAGATTACATTTCTGTATAACGGTCAATTATACGATTGTTGTAACAACCCTCCCTAATCAATGGTTCGTGTTCCAGTGGTTGTCCATTTGCTCTCACGGGCCATTCATAAATTCTTGTGAATATTGTGTTCATGGGATCGGGTTCGAACATCTCTAGTTCATCATAATCATACTCATCCTCCACAATCATGTTATAGAGGATGATGCACGTCATCATAATGCTCCGAAGCACCTCTTCGTCAAACATACAAGTAGCCCCCCTAACGATTGCCCAACAAGCTTTGAGGATACAAAAACACCTTTCCACATCTTTCCTATAACCCTCTTGATTGGCAGCAAAGTATTTCTCCTTCTGCAATTAGGGATGCGGATTTGTCTAGTTTTTAATTAATTTTAAAAATAAAATTTTTTTTGTATTATTTAATTTTTAATCATATATTTTTATTTTTTAGTTGTCAAAAGTCTTATTTACCCCTACAAATGTAGCATGTGTTGCTCACAAGACTAAATTTAACAGAAAATGTAACGGTATAACCAAAGCGCTAATTAATAAAGAGTTGGTGGACCATTTGAACGAATAATTTAGTTTAAGGACCAAAATGTAACTCGGGTACAGAGGACCATTTGAGTAATTTACCTGCCAAATTTGAAAAGGGTCAGCTGACCACCCCCTCAGCTTTAGTATACTTAGTCTGGGCCGACCAGTCGATGTTTTGAATATATATTAGCGCAATCCTGCTCATTTTAGGGCATTTACGTCATTTTTGAGGTCGGTCGTCATTTTGATTTTGGGCTTTATCTCCATTTCTTTTGGGTTCTAGCTCTCAAACTTTGGACCCTTATGAGTATTGTCTTAGGGGGAGCTTATTCAAACAAATAATTCTTCCATGTGTAAGAGTTAGGTTATTCTTGTAAAACTCTTTGTGGATTGAACATCTAAGGCTTTTTACCTAGAATGACCTTAGGTCCCTTCATGCATTCATATCATACATGAAAAATTGTTTTATGTAAAAATATTGACTAAGTATGAAAAATTGTTTTATGCAATTTGCAGTAGTCAACATCTTCATCTCCAATGGTGGATTCCAAGCTTGTAGGGGATCCCTCCTGCCCCAATATGGATCCACCCTTGTATATAGGTATGTTTTTAATTTATCCCACTTTACCTGAACCCACTCCATGTGGGTCATCTGCTTTTGTTTTCTTCCACACGTAAATATCATTCATCTTCAGAAGCTCTATAATGACAATAAATAAATTAAAAACTTGATTTTTCCACTGATTACACTAAAGTCAAGGTCCTTGCGCGTTTCACAACCCACACGCCTTCCTTTATGTAAAGTTGATCTAATTGTAATCAAAGATATATGCGAATACACCTTTTTGATGAACTCTTAAGTTCCGTCGAACACGAACATAACACACATACATAGAAGATATATATATATATATATATATATATATATATATTTGGGAAAGAGACAAACTGGTTTTTGAATAGTGGGAAAGTCTGGCAAACGCTGCTTTGGATGAGAACAACAACATTAGGATGAAGAGACTCATTAGGTAGCTACCCCTGGGAACCATTTTTATGATAGCCAGTCAGGTACAAAGTTTCGCTTCTCCTATCCCCAATCCCAAACCACCTTCCTTCTATTCTATTATATATAATGCCAGTAAACACCGCACAAGTGGTAATAGTTCCCACTGATTACACTAAAGCGGCACAAGTGGTGGTAGTTTCCACTGATTACACTGAAGTCAAGGTCTTTGCTCTCACAACCCACACACCTTCCTTTATGTGAACCAAAACTACAAAGTCAAGGTCTTTTATTTCATACCACTATAACCCATAGTGGAAGAGCCACCCATTGTCATGGCAATCTAAGGGTGGTCACTGTTCACGCGAATAATTTCTGCACTAGCAATTTTTTTTTTGTTTTCCCACCCATTGCCATGGGAACCTAAGGGCAATTACTATTCATATGAGATTAATTTTATTTATATGTATGAGATTAATAATAAAAAATGGTTGGTATTTATAACAAAAAATTCTGAATTTTTGGTAATTTTTCAGAATTTTTTTTCAATATTTTTCCAATTTATTTCTTCACTCATCTCAGCGCCTTCATGCACTAGCTCAGGCTGGGCTTACCTTCAGGCCTACCCATTTTTCAACCCAAGGAACCTTTTGCCATGATAAAACCCCATAGGTGGAAATGCTCCTGTGTTAACCAAAACTAATTAGTCAAGATTTTGGTGAGTACATGCAAGGATGGGTTACCGTGTCCACCCTGTCATTAGTTTTGGACTAGCTATCAATTTCATCAATTAAATTCAACAAGAAAATTCAAAATTTGCATTTAAATATATGAAAAAAATGCAAGACTGACTTTAACTGACTTTAACTGAGGTGTAGAAAGACTTTAAAGTCTTCTCCTATCCAAATGAGAAATTATAGAATAGAATGGATACACCACGTCAAAATGTGTATCTTCTACTCAAATATAGCCACGTGCTTAAGCTTTTACAGCTGAACTCCACTTCATTTCCTTATTTGAAATTATATTAGAAAAATAAAATTCAAAAACTTTAAACTTTAAAAGAAAAGATAGTATCGAATTACCGCGGCTAGACTACCTAATTGGAGTGAGACTAATGAGGTGTTAGCTGGATTGGCTCAAGCCATTAGTGTGCTCCCAGGTCCTGGGTTCAAGTTTCTCTCTTTCCTTTATAACTTTGGCAAACAAGAAAAAAAAAATAAAGAAGAGTAATTGGAGTGGATAACTGTCGTTGGCACTTAGGTTAGGGTGGCTTTTAGATTTGTGTTTTTTCTTTAATTTTAAGTTTTTAAATTTTTATTCAAAATTATGACTATTAACTTTAGGGTTAAGTAGTGCAGGTTCAGTTCCTTTCGCTGTAGAGGGGGAGAACACGGATGTGGCGCTTCAAAGTTTTTTACATTATTTATCCCTAAAAGTTTTACATTATTTTTTATTTCTAACAAAAAGCCATTAAATATACGAATACTCAAAATAAACACAAAAGAAATTAATACCACAGTGGAATGTGCACTCTCTTTGGGTGAAGATGTCGAAGGTTCTGTTAGTACGAAATTTGTATTGTCATTTCCTAGACTTGTTTACTGGATGTTTTGGCACAACTCATTCAACCACATACATCCGAGGCATGACTTGACCGATATGAGAAACTTGACTTCAGGTAAATCATGACATAATCATGCATTCATTATAGGATTCCTAGTTGGAGTTTTTTTCACTCAAAGTATTTTTATCTTAATCTTATTTTTAATAGGATTAGATTTTATCTCTTGAGATTACTTTCCTAGTTGGACTCTATTTTGATTTAAGTTAAAATACTATTTTTCATCCTTGACTTGAAAAGGACATTTCATTGATACCTATTTGATCTCTTTGATAAAGATTGTTATCTTGAATAACAATCCTTGCATAAGTTGACGAATTATATAGTATTAGTGGTCTCAATGGTTTTTGATGTTCTTCATTTCGTGCCCATATTGATTCACAACAAATAGTCATAGTTGAATAGGTTAATTGGGTGTTCATATTGCATCAGGTTAGAAGTCTTAGTTGAATGGGTCTTATAGTTGCATTGGAAGTGTAGTGACGTGGGGTTTCTCTCCAGGTAGAGAAACTGGCTTTGAATAAAAAGGATTGTTGTTCCTTTTCATTAGGAGCTTTTTTCAACGCATGAGTTTTTGAATATATTGAATCTGTTTTTGTGAAAGCTGCAGTTCTTATTTTTCTTAGATAAATCATCAAGTGTTCCTTGTCTACTTTGTGATTTATCAAATCCTTTCATCATTCATATTGCATTCATATGCACGTCGGTGACTCATACGGTTGAGGGCACCAAGACCGTGGTGGCGGTTTTCCTCCGGTGAGCTTGAAGCAATCGTGGCCAGTATTGCGTTCAACATAAGGAGTGTCGAAGATCATCCCGTGACAGAAGTTGAGTTACGAAGAAGTCGGTAAACATTATCTAGAATGTGTCTAGGATAAGTGTGTGAGTACTTCTTGTAATCATCGTTCTATAGTGGATTTGTGTTGGACTGAGGAGTCCCGTGGATTTTCCCCAGAGGTGGGGTTTTACCACGTAAAATAATTCTCTGCGTGTTCTTTTATTTTATGCCCAGCACGTTACAGGATTGATAAGCCATATCAATCCTGCTACCGAAGTTTATTTTTATTTATTTGATTAGAATCTTAAATTGGCCTATTCACCCTCCTCTAGGCATTTTGAGTCATCCTGCAGGTATTTTCAATTGGCATCAGAGCAGGTTGCTGGACATACTCAGCAAGATCTAACATACCTTAGGATGGATCGTGCCTCGGGCTCAATTGCACATCCACCATATTTCGATGGCAACAACTATGGCGCTTGGAAGGCCAAAATGAAGTCGTTTCTTTGGTCCTTAGATGAACGTGTATGGAGCACAGTGGTTCATGGATTTCCTAAACCCACAAAGACGATCGGAAAAGGAGATGAAGAAACCACAGTCCTCAAAACTAGAGAGGAGTGGACCACTGCAGAAGTCACACACAGCACTAATAATCAAAAGGGGTTAAATGCTTTATTTACTGCTGTCTCTTCCGATCAATTTGAATATATATGTGCTTGTGATACTTCTAAGGAAGCTTGGGATATTTTGCAGGTTACTCATGAAGGAACAGATACTGTCAAGGGAGCCAAGCTTCAAATGCACACTTTACAGTTTGAGACACTTATGATGGATGAGAATGAAACTTTTTCTGAATTTTATGCTAAACTTTGTGTAATTGTGAATGCTTGTTCAGGTTTAGGTGAAAAAATTCCAGAAGATAGAGTTGTGAAAAAGATTTTGAGATCCTTGCCTCAACGGTTTCAACCAAAGATCACGGCTATTGAAGAGATCCGTGACTTGAACACCTTGAAAGTTCAAGAACTCATAGGGTCCATACAAACCTATGAGATGAAACATCTACCTCTTAAAAGAGCAAAAATGTTGCGTTCAAGGTTGTGAATGAAGAAGATGATGAGCATTCAAATGAAGATTGCAGTGATGAGGAATTAACGATTCTCACAAGACGATTCATGAACTTTCTCAAGAATCAGGATCCAAGGAGTCGAGATTCAAAAGGTATAAATTCTAAAAATAGGTTTGTTAACTATACTGATGGTGGATCTAAATTTCGCAGGTTAAATGAACGAAAGAATCCAAGAGAAAAGGTCAAATGTTTCGAATGTGAAGGCTATGGACACATATCTTCGGAATGTGCCAACACCTTAAAGAAACAAAAGGATGGCAAGAATAAGGCAATGCATACTACTTGGAGTGATAGTGAATCGGAATGCGAGAATGATGAAAAGACGGTTGCACTTATAACCACAGTTAGCTTGGATGAATCACGTGAGGATGATGATTGTAAAGGTATAAATATTGAGTTTATCATGAACAAATATGATGATTTGTTGGCTGCATCTCAGAAGCTCAGTAAACAAAATAGTGAGCTCGTCAAAGAAGTTGCTGTGCTGAAGCTGGAAAATTGCAGGATTGCAAACGAGTTTCAATCCCCTGATGCAGATTCCGAAAAGGTAAGTGCAAGTATGAACGAAAAATTGATGTTTTTGCAGAAAAAATTGACTGATCAGAATAAATTAATTGCTTCTCTAACTTCTGACAACAAAGCCCTTGAACTTGAACTTAAAAATTCAAAAGAAAGGATTGTTTCTTTAACCATTGGTGCAGAAAAAATTGACAAGATGATTAGCATGGGACGAAGAGATGGTGACAAACGAGGCTTGGGATTTGAACCAAGTAATAAGTCTTCCGCTGTGTCTAAAACAAAGTTTGTCAAATCCACTTCACCTATTGAACCTTCTGCCTCTCATGAAGTCAAGAAATTTATTCCAATTTGTCACTTTTGTGGAACTCGTGGGCACATAAGACCAAGATGCAATAAGCTTCGAAACGAATTTGTTCGTTCAAATTCTCATGGCATGGATGGAAAAGTAAGTATCCAACATAAGATTTCACATCTTATGAAAGAGGTAAACCGCTTATCCAAACTATCTTCTTTTCATTGTTTGCCGTCAACTAAGACAAAGTTAGTTTGGAGAAAAAAAGAAAATCATAATTGTATGTCTTCCTCCACTAATGTTGTGCATGAACCCGTTGCTTTAGAAAGTTTGGATCTTAAATGTATTGCTGCAAAACCCTTGGATAATCTTCGATTTGACACTCTTAGAAAGTCTTTAGGTATATGTGCTCTAGATTAATTTGGAGTCTATTGCATGCCAAAGCCTCTTTCATGTTTTATGATATTTCAATTAATTTCTGTGTTTATAAATCTGTCCAGCTCGTGCAAGGATTGTTAAGGTGTATCAATCCTGTAACTGTCTGAACGTATTTGTTGATCTTAGATTGGGCTCTGACATTGCACTATATTAAGAACTTACACTCTCAGCTTCACACAAAGGTTTCCATTGTCTTGGTGCATTATAAACTTCATTAAATGATCTATCCATCTATTTATTTTTATTTTGCACACCACACTCTTTTCCTTGAAGTCCTTTGAATATCTCTTATCATGCACTTGTCTCTCTTTGGATTGCCATAACACTACTGTGCGTAAGTTCTTGATCTGTTTATAAAAATAAAAAAAAAAAAAAGGGTGTCAACCACTCATTGCTCAGTAACCGGGCCTCTTGTCTAACCAACGTCGAGGTTCGAGTCAACAGGTTGTGATGGTTTGCTATCCTTGCTTATCTTTGGAGCCTTCATGATTCGGATCAGTATTTCCCCAGGGGTGCTTCATCACCTAGTTGCCTCCAGTCATCTGACGTAAGCACACTGATTGACCATCCGTTACATGGATCATGTCGAAAGCTAGATAAAGTGAGCCACAAAATTCGTATTAAAAAATATATATATATAAATTGATCTTCTTATACTTACTATGCACTTAGTGTTTGTGCAATCTTTGGTGGGATTCGTCTTGTGTGGACATATTTTTTGTGCTTAATTGAAAAAGAGTTCATTTAACACATTTGCTCCTTGATGGTAGACTCATTTGATGCTTTTTTATCTTTCACCATGACTGTGGTATGCCTCTACTGTTCTCTGTGAGTTTGTGAGTCTCGTGTGCTGTCGTGTGTTTGTCCCTGACATGCTTTGCTTCACATGCGTTCAAGAAAGCAAAGGGTTTGTTGCTTCTTTCATTCTTTACTCACAAACTTGGCATGTTTATGAATGGAAAATAATTATATTTTCAAGAGAACTTTGGGTTTGCATCTATAGTATGTTTTATGTCTTGATTGTTTTGAGCTTTCTGTCTTGAGTGTATTGCTTTTGTTTTTGTATGTTTTGGTTCTTAACAACTTCTCATTATTCTTTTTAGTTCTCTATTTTCCTGTCGCTTATCCCAAAAAACAAAAAAAACAAAAAAAACAAATAAAAAAAAACAAATAAAAAATTCTGTTTGTTTTCAAGATAAAGCCTCTTACATGCTTTATTGGTTATTCTCTATGTCTTTATATGTTGGGAATGCAATCTGATTTTTTTATTTTTTATTCCCTCTTATATATGCTCCCTTATGTTCATTCTTTGCCCTTTGGATTTCCTGACAAAAAGGGGGAGAGATTGTGTTGTGGAATTAAGGGGGAGAGATTGTGTTATGGAATTAAGGGGGAGTTGTGTTGTAATTCTGCTTTGAATTACATTTCTTCTCCCACATGCTTCACTGGTTTTGTTGTTTCATAATGTGCAGGGTTTCAGGGTTTCAAGCTTAGAATAAGAATTCATTTGTTAAATCCCATGTAATTTCTTTTGAGTTGTAATAGGTGTTTTGTCTAGGAAATGTCAAAGGGGGAGATTGTTAGTACGAAATTTGTATTGTCATTTCCTAGACTTGTTTACTGGATGTTTTGGCACAACTCATTCAACCACATACATCCGAGGCATGACTTGACCGATATGAGAAACTTGACTTCAGGTAAATCATGACATAATCATGCATTCATTATAGGATTCCTAGTTGGAGTTTTTTTCACTCAAAGTATTTTTATCTTAATCTTATTTTTAATAGGATTAGATTTTATCTCTTGAGATTACTTTCCTAGTTGGACTCTATTTTGATTTAAGTTAAAATACTATTTTTCATCCTTGACTTGAAAAGGACATTTCATTGATACCTATTTGATCTCTTTGATAAAGATTGTTATCTTGAATAACAATCCTTGCATAAGTTGACGAATTATATAGTATTAGTGGTCTCAATGGTTTTTGATGTTCTTCATTTCGTGCCCATATTGATTCACAACAAATAGTCATAGTTGAATAGGTTAATTGGGTGTTCATATTGCATCAGGTTAGAAGTCTTAGTTGAATGGGTCTTATAGTTGCATTGGAAGTGTAGTGACGTGGGGTTTCTCTCCAGGTAGAGAAACTGGCTTTGAATAAAAAGGATTGTTGTTCCTTTTCATTAGGAGCTTTTTTCAACGCATGAGTTTTTGAATATATTGAATCTGTTTTTGTGAAAGCTGCAGTTCTTATTTTTCTTAGATAAATCATCAAGTGTTCCTTGTCTACTTTGTGATTTATCAAATCCTTTCATCATTCATATTGCATTCATATGCACGTCGGTGACTCATACGGTTGAGGGCACCAAGACCGTGGTGGCGGTTTTCCTCCGGTGAGCTTGAAGCAATCGTGGCCAGTATTGCGTTCAACATAAGGAGTGTCGAAGATCATCCCGTGACAGAAGTTGAGTTACGAAGAAGTCGGTAAACATTATCTAGAATGTGTCTAGGATAAGTGTGTGAGTACTTCTTGTAATCATCGTTCTATAGTGGATTTGTGTTGGACTGAGGAGTCCCGTGGATTTTCCCCAGAGGTGGGGTTTTACCACGTAAAATAATTCTCTGCGTGTTCTTTTATTTTATGCCCAGCACGTTACAGGATTGATAAGCCATATCAATCCTGCTACCGAAGTTTATTTTTATTTATTTGATTAGAATCTTAAATTGGCCTATTCACCCTCCTCTAGGCATTTTGAGTCATCCTGCAGGTATTTTCAGGTTCAATGCTCAATGGTGCAATATTTTCACATTTAATTGAGCTTTATGCCATGGCCGGTCCGATTCAGGTGAACTGGTTGGCTGACATAAATTGAACACTAAATCAGACCAAAGATACCGGTCTTCAACCGGTTCGATTCAGGTAAACTGGTTGGCTGACATAAATTGAACTGTAAATCAGACCAAAGAGACCGGTCTTTAACCGCTTCGATCCGATTTAACGCCGATTACACAAGTAAAAAATAAAAATACCAAACCACCAGTCTAGTTCAACCAGTTTGACTGGGTTTCAAGTCTGGAGCTTGAAGAGTAGGTGAGGTCAACCTTGTGTCCACAAAATTCAAACATTGCATTTATAAGTCGGACTTTAACAGAGGCGACTTCAAAGTCTTCTCCCATATTCCAAATTTGCGGAAAAGTAGTGAACAGGAGGTCTCAAGTCATCTCAACCGAATTTGTGGATCGCTGGATATATTGCGGAACCAAAACTGAAGTCAAGGTCTTTGCAAGATAGATTAAATTCAACAAGAATGAGAACAAGAAGATTCAAAATTTGCATTACATTTACGGAGAAATGTAAGACAATGACTTTAACTGAGGTGTAGGAAAGACTTAAAAAGTGCATGTAGAAAAATAGCTATAAATAAAGCCATCAAATACACAATTGTATGAAGAAACAAAAAACAATGACAAATTTATTATGCTGTCTAGCTTGCCTTATCTTGTATGTCCAGCTGCTCTCATCACCAAACATTGCTTCTGCTTCTTCTCTTGAAGCAGAGGCTCTTCTCAAATGGAAAGCTAGCTTTCAAAATCAAACCAAGAATAATCTGATCTCATGGGCTTACTATCCAAAAGTAAATACAATCCCATGCAACGGTTGGACTGGTATTTCATGCAACACTGCTGCAAGTGTCAACAGGATCAACCTCACCAATTCTGGGATTCAAGGTACGCTATATGAATTTCCATTCCTGTCCCTCCCTAATCTCGAATACATTGACCTCAGCTTGAACCAACTCTTTGGTGCCATCCCATCTCAGATAAGTTCCCTCTCCAAACTCATCTATTTTGACCTTTCTTATAATCAGTTGTCTGGGAAAATCCCACCAGAAATTGGTCTTCTAAATAGTCTTCAAGTCCTGCACCTAAATGAGAATCAATTAAATGGCTCAATTCCTCAAGAAATTGGTCAGCTTAAGTTTCTTAATGAGCTTGCTCTGCAAACCAACAATCTAGAAGGTCCAATCCCGGCTTCTCTCGGTAACCTTTCCCATTTAGCTGCACTGTACATGCAGAACAACTATTTAACAGGTCCCATTCCTTCAGATTTTGGAAATTTAAAACACCTAACCATGATGTACTTGTCCAACAATACACTTTCTGGTTCCATTCCTTCAGAAATAGGAAATTTGAAGTCTCTAGTGGAATTATGCATTAATGATAACAATCTATCCAGTTCAATCCCGTCATCATTAGGCGATCTAACAAACCTTACCCTTCTCTATCTCTTTAATAATAATCTTTCCGGCATAATTCCAAAAGAGATAGGGAACCTTAAATCTCTTGTGGACCTACAGTTGAGCGATAATCACCTTAATGGTTCCATCCCCACTTCACTTGGTGACTTGAGCAACCTAGAAATCTTATTCCTACGCGATAACCAACTTTCTGGCTCCATCCCCCAAGAGATGGAGAATCTCATGAAGTTGATTGTGCTGGAACTTGACACTAACAATTTTTCTGGTTATTTGCCACAAAATATTTGTCGTGGCGGATCACTACAAAACTTTAGTGTAAGCTCCAACCATTTCATAGGTACAATCCCCAAAGGTTTGCAAAATTGCAAGAGCTTAGTGAGAGTTCATCTTGAAGGGAACCAACTAACGGGCAATATATCTGAAGTTTTTGGTTCCTATCCAAATCTTCATTTTATTGACCTAAGCCACAATAACTTGCACGGTGAAATCTCACAGCTCTGGGGACAGTGTCCGCAATTAGCAACACTACGAATTGCAGGGAACAAGCTTACTGGTAGTATACCACCTGAGATTAGCCATGCATCCCAAATTCATGAACTCGATCTTTCTTCCAATAGTTTAGTCGGGGTGATCCCAAAGAACTTTGGGAGATTGACTTCTTTGGTGAATTTGATGTTGAATGGCAATCAACTTTGGGGTCCTATACCGTCAGAATTTGGATCGTTGACTGATATTGAATATCTTGACTTGTCCACCAACAAATTCAACGAGTCAATTCCAGGCATTTTTGGTGACTTTCTCAAATTACACTACTTGAATTTGAGCAACAACAAGTTCAGTCAAGAAATTCCATTTCAGATGGGGAAGTTAGTTCATCTGTCCCAACTTGATCTAAGTCATAACTCACTTGAGGGTAAGATACCAACACAAATGAGCAGTATGCAAAGCTTGGAGAAGTTGAATCTTTCCTACAATAATCTTACAGGTCTCATTCCAACAAATTTTGAAGAAATGCATGGCCTGTATCACATCGACATATCCTACAATCAACTGCAGGGTCCAATCCCCAACAACAAAGCATTTCAAAATGCTCGAATGGAAGGGAATAACGGATTGTGTGGCAACGTTGGAGGACTAAAACCCTGCAATCATTCTGTGGAGCATAAGCATACCTCAAGGAAGGAGTTCTTAATCATTTTCCCTATCTTGGGAACACTTTTACTTGCTTTCCTGGCATTTGTTTTGATTGGAAGAAGAAGAAGTAGAAGAAAGCAAGAACTGGAAATCGAACAGAGCAATATGCACGAAAGCTTTTTCTCAATATCTAATTTTGACGGAAGAAAAATGTATGGAGAAATCATGGAAGCAACCAATGGTTTTGATGTCATTCATTGCATCGGGAAGGGAGGACAGGGAAGCGTCTACAAGGCAAAGCTCCCATCAGGCAGCATTGTTGCAGTGAAGAAATTCCATCAAACACTTGATGGTGAGGAGGCATCTCGGAAGGAGTTCCTTAATGAAATAAGGGCCTTAACTCAGATACGACACCGAAACATTGTGAAGTTTCTTGGCTTTTGTTCAAGTGCCCATCACTCGTTTTTGGTCTATGAGTATTTGGAAACAGGTAGCTTGGCTGCAATCTTGAGCAACGAGAATGAAGCTAAAAAATTGGACTGGAGCACAAGGGTGAGAATTGTAAAAGGTGTTGCTCATGCGTTGTGTTATATGCATCATGATTGCTCACCACCAATTGTGCATCGAGACATAACAAGCAGCAACATTTTGCTGCGCTGTGACTATGAGCCTTGTGTTTCGGACTTCGGCACTGCTAAGCTTTTGAATCCAGACTCGTCGAATTGGACTGCTCGTGCAGGCACATATGGATATGTAGCACCAGGTAAAATACTAAAATATAGAAGTTTTTTCTTAAAAAATTAATTCTGGATATATCTATATTAATGACTTGCTCTTCCTTAATTTGCACGCAGAGCTGGCTTATACAATGAAGGTAACAGAAAAATGTGATGTTTATAGCTTTGGAGTGCTGGCACTGGAAGTGATCATGGGAAAGCAGCTAGGCGATTTCGTTTCCTCCTTTTCATTTCCATCCACCACCTATCCAAACATATTTCTCAAGGATGTGTTGGACCAAAGCCTTCCCCCTCCTACACCTCAACTTCAAGATGAACTCATAACCATTGCAAGGCTATCAATTGCATGCAGACATTCCCATCCACAATCGAGGCCAACAATGCACATGGTTTCTCAGGCGTTATCGTTCCCAACTGCTTCTTCCAATAGAAGATCAATTGATATTACCCTTGAACAACTCATTACGATCTGATTTGCGTGTGCCATATGTATATTGTAGTCATTTGAGTACTTCTTTTCATATCAACTTTAGCATATGTATTGTTCTGTTTTATATCAGAGTAACTGGTTTAACCAGATTCAGACCAAAAAAAAAAACTGGTTTAACCAGATTATTCTATTTATTACCACCTGTTGTAGAAAATTCACATCACATTTTAATTTCTAGAACTAAGCCTTGTGCTGAATTTAAAACTACTACAAAATTGTAAAACCACGACACAAAATAGACGGCGGTGTAGTTTAAAACTATCGGTGTGTTTTAAAAGATATTACAAAAGCGTCGTGATATACAATTTTATACACCACTAAAATAGAATTCTGTTTTAAAAGACGACATTTGTAATTACAAAGGTTGTCTTTTAAAACACGCTAGGTTCCGTAAGTGAGTTCGCTCTCGACTTAAAATTTTCAGATCTCCTTCCAACTCGAATACATTCCCTCCCCTAATTTTCGCAGCGCTCTCAACTCTCTTAAACAGTCCCTCTGAATTTTCCTCATCTCTCTTCCTCCCTCGTCGTCACAGATCTCTCTCTTCGTCTGTCTTTCACTTTTTGCTATGCGTCTCTCTCTTGACCATTCACTTCTTTTGCTTTGCAGGTCGTGATCGATAACGTCGTCTGCTCCACTGCGACTTTACTCAAGGTTTCTGAGCTCGCCATCTCGTTGCGCCGCCGTGGTCAGTGAGAGTTTCAGTAAGAGATTTGGGGCTTTTGCTATTTCAAATCCCTAGTATCCTTTTACTTATACTCTCTCATCGATCTCCGGCTCTTTCAGATCAACCCCATCGAAACCCTAAGCTTGCTCCTTCTGCAACAAAACTCTAAAGCCGCCAAGGCCTCTGCAACAGTTGGTCTGAAATTTCTTTTCTTTTTTATGTTCTTTATGATTTACCTGTTATATTGTTTCAATTTGATTATGAGTTGTTGCTCTGTTTGGATTATGCTGGTTGTCTATTCATATAGATTTTATTTATTTTTCTGGAGTGCTTTTCTTTCATAAGAACTCTGGTCATTCCCCCTTCTCAGTCTCAGGCTATAATTTCTCAAACAGAGATAAGAGGTGGTCTCTGATTCGCGCATTTGAAGGTGGGGTTCAGATAATCTTAGTCGAGTCATATCATGTATATTTTAATCTCAGTTGATCTCTCTCTCTCTCTCTCTCTCTCTCTCTCTCTCTGTATTTTTGTTTTTGGTTCTCTTTCTTGATCCATGGTATGTCTCAAAATGCATCAGATACTCTGAATTCGTATCTAGTTGACTACATGGATACATGATGGATATGCAAGGGATACAGGAGGGGTTATTTTGTATTTTCTTTTCCAAGAACAAAAGGGTGAGGGTAATTTTTTCTAGAAAAAAATGGGTTCTTTGGAATTGTTTCTATAAAAGCGAGATCTGAGTGCTAGTTTCAAATGTTAAAGAAAAAATAAACAAGTAATATTTAACTATATATTTCTTTATTGTCTTATCCCTTTATCTGCTAATCTTTTATACTTGTCATATATATCTTGTAACATATCTGTGCAACACAGCAATGGATTATTAGCTTTCCTTTCTTTCTTGTCTTTGTGGTGCTAAGGGTTGCATTTGTTTGCCAAATATTCAGGTATTGCATGCGAATTTTTTTTTTTTTTTTTTTTTTTTTTTTTTTTTTTTTTTTTTTTGTATTTTGGGTGCTGTGTATTTTTACTTGAAAAAGTTCCTCTTTCCTTTTGACGTGTTGTGATAAATTCAGTGGGTGATTTGCGTTGTATAAATCTAAAATGGGTTTAGTGATAATTGTTCATGATCCAATTCTATCAGTATACGTTTTGCAATTTTCTGCGTAGTGTACCAAATCTTAAGTGAAGGCACTTAACTGTTACCTTGACGTTGTATTCTTCAGCATTGCAGTGTGGATTTAAGATGTTCACTAGGGCTGCTACAAGAAAGCTTTTCACTAACATCCGTTTGAACAGGTAATTCCACTTTAGATTGTATAGATAGCATTCTGTTTGAACAGGTAACTGCACTTCAAATAGCAATTTGCAATAGTTTATCCTTACCTCTGTTGCTTTGTAACTAGAATACATGCATCTTTTTACTGCTTCTCTGTTATCCTTTTGCTGTTGAGAATCTGATATGTATGTCAATTTGATGCTTGGAATTATGACAAAAATGAAATTATGTTTTTATGTGCTTCCCTGATATTATAGATTCTTTTATGGGAAGAATGACCAGATGTTGATTTTCTGCAGGTGGTGCTTTGATGTTAAGGTGGTTTACCTATGCAGATGGTTCAAAATTAGAATGATTGAGATATCTGTAAACTGGTGGATCAAAGGAGAACCCGTTAAGCGTGCCAAATATGCTTTAGGAGCTTGAGCTCATGTCTGTTGGATATAGAACTGCTATGTAATTACTATTGAATTTTGAAGTTTTATGAAAGAAACAATTTGAATATATTGGTAAATTATGATCTTCAAGTTTTAAGAAAGAAACAATTTGAGTATATACGTATGGCGTGGGTAATAGCATATTTGGACATGAATTTATTGTTCACAAAGCATTATGGTTTTTCTAGTTAAAATCGTTGTAGAGAATCATTGGAAATGGAAAAAAAAACATAAAATGTAAAATCACATCAATTTTGCAGTTGATACATGACGATGGTTGCAACAAAATCGTCGTTTTTATAGTTGATAGACGACTTGTATTTTAACAAACAGTCATCTTTAGGGATAATAGATGTCGTTTTTCATAAACCGTCTTCTTTTCAGTGAATACACCACGGTTTTCAACAAAAATCTATAGCCGTCGTCTTTATTTCAAAACAATGACGGTTATCATAAAAACAGTCGGTTGATATAGCTGGATCCACACACATCATATTTGATCTCAGCCACACATCTAGCTACTTTCTAGGACCACTACACGTGGCAATTTTAGCCTTACATATTGGGGCCCCACACTTGTCATTCTAAGACACTATGTGCATACACAATTAACATTCATGGCTTATTATTTACTAATCAGCTAATTACTTACAATTCTACAGAGCATAATATAGGTTGCTGGGAATTGGGAGTATTGATAGTTAATTTCAACATATATATTTCAACTTCTGTCAATAAATAAAAGAGTATTTGTCAACTTCTGCAAATAGAAAAGAAAAGCATTAGATAAGAGAAATTTGGATGTTTGTAAGAGCATGTCCTTATTTTCATATGGATGTTTATATGTTTGTTATTGTTATTAATCTTAAAGGATTTTTAAATTTTAACGTTTTTATTTTCTGTTTTAATTTTTGGCCATTTTCTTTTATTTATTATGGGAGTTACAAATTGTTTAATTTTCAGTTTTTATTTTTTATTCATTGCACCAACTTTTCTGGTTATGTCTGGAGGTTACGAGTATTGGATGCTTATAAAAGGCCACTCCTCCTTCACATTTCAACACACTACAATAAGATTTCTCTATTCTCGTACTTTCATATATTCCCCACTTTCCATATTATTTTTGGGCAACGGTTCTATGGCTTGGAGATTGAGTTTTTATCAAAAATAGCCCAAATTTACCCCATACTTTCATAAATGTCAGTTTTGTAAAAAACTTTCAAAAATAGCCAAAAACCCACTTAAATATACTCAAATGCCCTCAAAACTAAAACCCACATAAAAGTTAAAACTACTATTATTTGATTATATATATATATTTGGACAAATTCGGGAAACATTAGGAAAAGGAAATCGCAATTGTGGATCCCGCTTCCATCTTCTAACTATCCATTCCATCACTCACGTCCTAAGCCTAGAGGTAGCCCCCTCCTCCATCTCCATGTAGAGCACTGATCACATACAATACACACTTATATTCAAGTCAAAGTAGCTGATTCCTCAAGCCCATCTTGGTTGTGCAAAGTTTATGAGAGAATATAAGTTTTTTTAAAATTAAAATTAAAATTCTTCCATCATGAACATTAAAGAAGCATGATGGATTCCAGTAAAAACAAGAAAAAGAACCATGTTGTCCAGTAAAGGGATGAACATATACAAATCTGATATTGCAATATTTAAGATGACATAATGCAGTATCATATCATGTATGTATGACTCACTCACTTCATAAATAGGTCCAAATTATTATAAGCATATAACTAGATAGTTAAGGATCAAAACTTGTATATATATGTTGTGGACTGTTAAGATCCATGAGCCACGACCATGCTTGGCCCTGCATATGTTTATTAAAAAAACTAGTAGACCGAACAAAGAAGCAAGGGAAACACACACAAAATATAAGTAACGACAATTATAGTACAGGGAGTTTGACTAGTGCTGCAAACGTGCCTACTAAATTCTAAATTTTTATCTAGTAGGGTTTTGCATTTTAGATTTATGTGGTTTTAGTTTTAAGGGCATTTGAGTCTATTTAAGTGGATTTTTGGCTATTTTTGAAAGTTTTTTTACAAAACTGACATTTATGAAAGTAGGAGGTAAATTTTGACTATTTTTTATAAAAACTCTTGGAGATTTCTATCCGTCTATGAACGTGCTTATAGTGGACCTTAAGCCTGCGTATTGTGGTCGTATCTTGGAATCTTGTAGACCGTCATTACCTGCACGTATGAAGGCTACAAAGGCTTTAGAACAACGTTTTTGACGTGCTTTCACTATACCAAGCTTGCTTTCTTAATCTTAACTTTTATTTATTTATTTATTTGTCTCTTGCCTAGACAGTTTTCAAAATTAAGGACTTTAAAATCCAAGATTCAAAAAATCCCTTTTAAACCAAATCACTTCACGTTTGTTTTAAAACAAAATCTTAAGTTAGTTTTCAAAAGCTAATTAAGTACACCAGATTTTGTAACCGTTGTTTTAAGAAAAATTTGAAGTGAAATATCTTGTTATAAATTTGGCACATTTAAAAAATAAAAACAGTTATTGTTGGTTCATAAATAGCCTATATTATTTATTTGCAATTGTTTGATCATTATTAAATTTCAACTTCTATTACATTTAAATTTCAGATTTTGTTGCTTCATTATTGTTTATTGGAATTGAGATGGATAGTGTAGAGACCAATAGCATTAAACCTGGAAAATTTAATTGGACAAATTTTAAGAGGTGGCAAAGACAACTTAAATATTAGCTGTTTTAGGGTTAGTTTCTGCCTTAGAAGATCAAACCACACCCAATAAAACTATTGAAACCACTTCTAACACTAAGGAGAAGATGACAAAAGAAGAATTAGAATATCATTGCCATAACAGAATCCTTAGTGCTCTCTCTGATGACCTATATGATGTTTATCAAGATACAAAAAATGCAAAAACTTTGTAGGATGAATTAGAAGCTAAATATGGGATAGAAGATGCGGGAATAGATCGTTTTACAATCTCAAACTTTAATAACTATATGATGGTTGAGAATAAAACTGTAAGTGAACAAATTCATGAGTAGCAAGATTTTTTAAGGAAAATAGAACTTAAGGTGTAACATCTCACATCGACCAACGGAGAGGGGGTGATGTGCCTTATATGTACATGCCCGCTTCCATATAGCAAGAGGCCTTTTGGGAGCTCACTGGCTTCGGAGTCATGGGAACTCCGAAGTTAAGCAAGTTGGGGCTAGAGCAATCCCAGAATAGGTGACCCACTGGGAAGTTGCTCGTGAGTTCCCAGAAACAAAATCGTGAAGGCAGAGAGGGGGGCCCAAAGCGGACAATGTGCTACAACGGAGCCGATCCTGGGATGTGACATAAGGGTACTAAGTTAGTGAAGAGTTTAAAGTCTCTTGTCTCATAGATAAATTACCCCCAAGTTGGCCAAACTTTGCAAAAACCCTTAGGCACAAACAAGTAGATTTAACCTTAACCCAAGTATTAAACTCACTTAGGATTGAAGAGAAACATAGATCAAGTAACAAGCCTAAGGAAGAAAAGACAAATGTGAACCTAGTTGAAAGTTCAAACAATAGGAATCGTTTCCAATCTAGAAGGAAATTTTTCAAGAGGACAAACATAAATAGCCAACCCAACCATAATGAATTCCACTGAAACCAAAATCGTCAGCACCATAGACCCCATAAAAATTCCAATGGCAAGATGGATCAACCATGCTTTGTTTGTGGGAGAACAAATCATTGGGCCAAAGATTGTCATTACAAGAGGACTGAGCCCTACAAGCTAAAGCCTAAGTGGAACAAAGGACAAAGGGGTCCTAAAGCCCAAGTGAATGTGTTGGTGGATCAAGATGAACCCAATCTAAGGTATAGTTTTAAGCCTCTAGTTAATGTCGCATATTTAAGTAATAGTGATTGGTGGTTAGATTCTGAGGCAAACGTACATGTGTGTTTTAACAAACGATTTTTCAAAAATTACCAGAACTCAAGTGAAGGAAGTGTAACCCTAGGAAATGACACTGTCGCACAAGTATGTGGAGTAGGAGAAGTGAAATTGAAGATGACATCTGGGAAGGCTCTAACTCTTAAGGATGTGCGACATGTTCCTGACGTGAGAAGAAACCTTATCAGTGGATCGTCCTTAGTAAAACAAGGATACAAAATTGTAATGGAGTCGAATAGGATTGTTATTACTAGAAACAATATCTTTATTGGAAAAGGATAAGTTTGTGATGGATTGTTCAAAATAAATGTAGTTTTTAAAGATAATAAAATTTCTCCTCAAGTTTTTAATGTTGAATCCTGTAATGTATGACGTGGAAGGTTAGGACATGTAAGTTTGAGCAAAATCAAAAGGTTAATGGATCTTGAGCTAATCCCTAAGTCTAACGTAGACCTCAAGCATAAATGTGAAGTGTGTGTTGAAGCCAAACAAACTAGGAATTCTTTCAAACCTATAGAGAGAAACACTCAAATCTTAGAGCTCATACATAGTGATGTGTGTGATTCAAATAGGTCTCATACTAAAGGTGGAAACAAGTACTTTATGACATTTATTGATGACTTCTCTAGGTATTGTTATATTTATCTTATTAAGACAAAAGATAAGGTGTTTGATAAACTCAAGATTTATAAAAGTAAGGTAGAAAATCAATTGGAGAAAAAGATCTAATAGAGGTGGGGAGTATACTTCAAATGAGCTTGGAGCATTTTGTGAAGAACATGGAATTATACATGAAGTTACTCCACCATATTCACCCAAATCTAATGGAGTGGCTGAAAGGAAAAATAGAACCCTAATGGATATGGTAAACTCTATGCTTCTTAGTAGTGGACTACCTGAGAATTTGTGGGGGGAAGCAATGTTAACTGTTTGTTTCATACTTAATAGGATAACATTGAAGGACAATGAGAAAACTCCTTATGAGTCATGGAAAAGAAGATCACCTAACCTTAAAATCCTAAAAGTGTGGGAGTGTTTAGCTAAGGTACTCATACCCAATCCTAAGAGAAAGAAAATAAGTCCTAAGACTATAGACGTAGTTTTCCTCGGTTATGCCAAAAATAACAACGCCAATAGGTTTTTGGTGATTAACTTTGAAGTAAATGAGGTTGCAAACAACACAGTTATGGAAGCAAGAGATGCTATATTCTTTGAAGTACAAGACAAGAATTTCTAAGGAAGTACAAATAAGTGAGAAGCCTTCTAGCTCAACTACGATCGAAAATTTAGAATCTCAAGAGCTTAGAAGAAGCAAAAGAGCGAGAGTTGAGAAGAACTTTGGAGATGATTTCTATACCTTTCTAGTAGAAGGAGATCCCACAACTTATAAGGAAGTCGTTATGTCTGTGGATGCACCATTCTGGAACGAGGCTATAAATGATGAGTTTCAATCTATAATCCAAAATAATACATGGATGTTAACGGATTTGCCTACTGGAAATAAAGCGATAGGATGCAAGTGGGTATTTAGGAAAAAGTTGAAACCAGATGGAAGTATTGATAAATAGAAAGCAAGATTGGTAGCTAAGGGTTTTACACAAAAGAAATGGATAGATTATTTTGATACTTACTCACCTGTTTCTAGGATTACCACCATAAGGACTTTGATAGCTTTAGCATCTGTGCATAATTTAGTGATTCATCAAATGGATGTGAATACTGCATTTTTAAATGGAGACTTAGATGAAGAGATCTATATGGAGCAACCAGAAGGATTCATAGTTAAGGGCCAGGAACATAAAGTGTGCAAGTTGGTTAAATCTTTATATGGCCTAAAGCAAGCTCCTAAGCAATGGCATGAGAAATTTGATAAGGTGATTCTAGATTATGATTTTAAGTTTAATGGTCACGATAAATGCGTTTATTATAAAGAGAATAATGGAGAACATGTAATTTTGTGCCTATATGTTGATGACATTTTGATATTTGGGACGAATTTAGAGATTGTGAATGATGTGAAGTCATATTTATCTAGGAATTTTGACATGAAAGATATGGGAGAAGCACATGTAATCTTAGGAATGAAAATTGAGAAGACAACAAAAGGAATCTCTCTAAGTCAATCTAGTACTATTGAGAAGATGTTGAAGAAGTTCAATCACTTTGAATGTAAGCCCACACCAACACCTTATGATCCAAATTTTCATTTAAAGAAAAATCAAGGTCAACCGTTTTCTCAGTTGAAGTACTCCCAGATGATAGGTTCTTTGTTGTACATTGCAAATAAGACTAGGCCAGACATTGCTTATGTTGTTGGAAGATTAAGTAGGGAGACACATTACCCAAGCAAGGAACATTGGAATGCTTTGGAAAGAGTTTTCAAGTACCTAAGAGGAACAATGGATTATTCACTATGCTATAAAGGATTTCCAAATTTAGTAGAGGGATATAGTGATGCAAATTGAATAACATACAATGAAGAAGTGAAGTCTACTAGTGGTTACATTTTCTTATTAGGTGGAGCTGCAATTTCATGGGGTTCGAAGAAGCAAACAATTATTTCTAGAAGTACTATGGAGTCTGAACTCATAGCTTTGGATATTACTTGCACTGAGGCTGAATGGATTAAGAGTTTATTGATGGATATGCCTCTGGTGGAGAAACCATTGCCTGATTTATCTATTCATTGTGACTGTAAGGCTACAATAGACTTGGTGAAACAATCTCATACAAATAGGAAAATGAACATGCACATACACAGGAGACATAAATCTATGAAGAGGCTATTAAGTAAGAACATTGTATCTTTGGAGTATGTGAAGTAGAGCAACATTGCTGACCAATTGACTAAAGGTCTTTCTAGGAGTAGAGTCCTAGAAATGTCGAGGAGGATGGGCTTAAGCCCATAAGGGAGTCACCTAGGGAGGTAACCCAACTTCTATGATTGGCGATATCATGAAGGAAGTTCAATGGGTAGAAACAATCCATACTGCGTGACTCATTGAGCATTGTTTATATCATGTGGAGGCATCCTAGAGATGTCCTCATGCTCATCCCTATGACATCAATGCTATATAATGTGACGTTAGGAAGGGATTTATCCCTGAATGAGTTTGGAGGCAGCCAATCTCCCGCAGGGTGCAGGTCACATGTACTCTTGGAGAACTCACCTAAGTGAGAGACGGTGTGAGGGTGCGACTATGAGAATTGGGCTATTCTTTAGCAACTCTCATGAGAATAAGGATTAGCCCATGGCCATAAATAGCGCTACCCCGCTTCCAAGCCTCAACCAATACTATGTGTGGGATATGTTGAAGTTTGGTCAAAGGTGCCGAGTTCAATACTGTGTACACTCAGGTTCCTCAAATGAAAACTATCATCACTAAGTGAAGGTTCAAGCCCGGAAGGCACCTACACCAATTGCATAGTATTATGTTGCCCATATGTATATTTTCGTTATCTTTTACTATTTAAAAATTTTAAAACCCTTTTGTTTTAATTTTTGGCCTTTTTCTTTTATTTATTATGGGAGTTACAAATTGTTTAATTTTCAGTTTTTATTTTCTATTCATTGCACCAACTATTCTGGTTAAATGTGTCTGGAGGTTACGAGTATTGGATGCCTATAAAAGGCCACTCCTCCTTCACATTTCAACACACTACAATTAGATTTCTCTATTCTCTTACTTTCATATATTCCCTACTTTCCATATTATTCTTGGGCAACGGTTCTGTGGCTTTGAGATTTCTATCCATCTGTGAACGTGCTCATAGCGGACCTTAAGCCTGCATATTGGGGTCGTATCTTGGAGTCTTGTAGACTGTCATTACCTGCACGTAGGGAGGCTACAAAGGCTTTAGAACAGCGTCTTTGACGTGCTTTCACTATACCATGCTTGCTTTCTTAATCTTAACTTTTATTTATTTATTTATGTCTCTTTATTTTACTTTACTATTTAATCTTTAATTTATATATTATTTATATCTAACTGTTTTGAATAGGAATTTTATAGAAAAGGAAAAACCACAATTTTTAATAACAATTATTTGAACTGTTTGGATTGTTTGCTATTTTCCAGTGTTTGACTCTATTGTGATTTTTCTGGACAAAATTGATTTTGAAGGCTAAGGGAAGGATTGGCTTGCTAGTTGTGTTTCTTTCTGGTATTTTTTTGTATTTTTTGATTGTTGCTTTATTTGTTTTGTTTATGGTTGTTGCTTTATTTGTAGTTTATAGAAATTATTGGTGTTAATGCTTACTGTTTATGGTTATTGAAAAATGCAATATTTGTATTTTTATAGGGTATTATTTTCATGGAAGGAGAATCTAAAACCCCTGTTTCAACTAACCAACTAGCACCACCAAATCAAGTTCATCAATCTACCCCTATACAATCAGCCTTTTTACCTATCACTTTAGGAAAAAGAAAACCTTGTAAGAATGCTTCCGGGGTTTGGGAGCATTTTACAAAGATAAAGTGTGAGGATGATACTCATCAGCCTAGATGCATATTCAAGTAGTCTAAAAACTGTGGAGGCATTGATTTTTTGTAGTGATTGGTTAAGGGCTGAGGAGTTTAGGTACTACAAGGAATCCGTGTTGGATGAGTTAGATTTCTACCAAGCTTTGGAAAAAATGGAAAAATGTTTTCTTTTTGTACATTAATCAAAATTTATAGTTTCTTTATGTCATATTAATTCATATATTTATTAACATTTTTTTGCCTCCTATCTCATGGAAAACTTCTTACCTTTGAACCCAACTTGATAAGGTATCCCTTCTCTATTTTCACACCTAATAAATTTCTTTGCTTGTTTTAGTAGCTAGCTTCCCATCTAAATTTCTTTGTGTGGCTATGCGGCCCTCATAAATATTTTTATTCCACAATATCCATACTTAGATGTAATTATGGATTGATTTGGTTACAATTAAATCTTCTCATGGTCTTTACCCTTGGGTTGCCATAGGGGATTTTAATTGCGTTCTGGGAGCTCATGAAAAGAGAGGTGGTTGCTTGCCTAATTCTCTCTCTTGTTTTGAATTTCAGCTTATGTCCTCAACTTGTGAACTTATTCATTTTCCAACGCCTGGCCTCCCATATACTTGGGTTCGTCGAGGAATTAGGCGTACTGTTGAAATGCGCTTAGACAGGTGTCTTGGAAAATGCTATCTGGATGGATGCTTGGCCTAGCACGACTTGTTGTACTCTTCCACAATCGACATATGATTATTGTCGTCTCCTCCTCACCTTTGATAGATTACAGCTGGTGTCACGCCCACCTTTTCGTTTTCAACAAATTTGGCTGAAAGCTCCTGGTTTTTTGCAAATGGTTGAGCAGTGGTGGATGAGTTTCTCTTTTCATGGGTGTCCAATGTTCGTTCTTTCGTCTAAATTAAGGGCTCTTAAAGCTAAGCTTAAGGAGTGGAATTGGCGGGATTTTGGGGACATTAATGCTAAAATGAATGATTCCGTGAGAGCTTTGGAGTCCATTTAGACTGAAATTATAAATTCGGGGCCTTCAGATGAGCGACTCTTGCATGAAGATCAGGTGTAAACGCAGCTTCACGATTCTCTTCGTGTGCAGGAGATCTTGTTAAGGGACAAATCTCGAGTGCGTTGGCTTGCTGAAGGTGATAGAAACAATTCTTTTTTTCACTCCATGGTGAAATACCGGAAGCTTCATCAATCTTTATCAATTCTTAAAGATGGAGATACCATTATGGATGATCAGGATGCAATTAGATCTCATATTGTTAATCACTTTTGGAAGATGTTCACTACTGATGCCGAAGTAGTTAATACAGGTCTTGTCGAATGGGTTATTCCATCTTTAGTCACTGTGGGGGACAACATGCTTCTCACTTCTATTCCCTCCCAGGAGGAAATTTTTGGTGTTGTTAAATCTATGGTTTCTTTGAGTTCTCCGGGTCCTGATGGCTTTGGTGGGATTTTTTTTCTTGCACTGTTGGAGTGTGGTTGGTCATGAAGTGGTTCAGGCATTTCAAAGTTTTTTTCTTCAAGGATTGGTGATGCCTCATTTTAACTATAATCTTCTTATATTGATTCCAAAAGTTCCTGGTGCTGATACGGTTTCTCAGCTTCGTCTGATTGCACTAGCTAATTTTGTTTTTAAGATCGTCACCAAAATTTTGGCTAACCGTGTTGGGCCTATTGTGTCGCACATTATTTCTCATAATCAAAATTCCTTTATTAAAGGGTGCTCCATAACTGATTCTATTTATACTTACTTTGGAGTGCATGAATCTTTTGGATCGTAAATGCAAAGGTGGTAATGTTGCAATTAAATTTGATATTTAGAAAGCCCTTGATACTTTGGATTGGGGCTTCATTCTTCGTGTTCTAACGGCCTTCGGGTTTGGTGAGATTTTTGTTTTATGGATCAAAGAATTGCTTGGCTTCTCTTATCTTGTTCTCAGGGTGTTCGACAAGGTGACCCTCTTTCCCCTATTCTTTTTTGTTTATCACAAGAGGTTTTCAGTCGTGGAATTTCTTCTTTAATAGAATCTGGAGCTATGCGTCGGGTTAATGCTCCACGAGGTGTTATGCCTCATAGCGATGTTCTTTTTGCAAATGATATAGTGGTCTTCATTCAAGGCACTACAAAGAATCTTCGGGTTTTGATGCGGTTTATGGTTGAGTATGGATTAAACTCGGGTCAGTTTATCAATAAATCAAAATCTTTCGCCTTCTTGGGTCATTACACGCGGCCTCGGCAAGCAAGCATTCTTTGTACTCTTGGAATTGGTGTTGGTTCCTTTCCATTCACTTACTTGGGTGTTCCCATTTTCCAAGGTTGACCAAAGAAACAATGTTTTCAAGCTATTGCGGACCGTGTTTGTTGTAAACTTTCTGCTTGGAAGGGTTCTCTTCTTTCTCAAACAGGGCGATTGCAATTAATTTCGTCAGTCATCCAAAGTCTTCTGATATATAGCTTCCAAGTTTATGAATGGCCCTCCTCCTTGTTGACAAAAGTTCAAAGTTGGATTCGAAATTTCTTTTGGTCTGGAGACCCGAATTCTCGTGGTGCTCCTCTTGTGGCATGGAAATCTTGTTGTCTTCCTAAAGACCATGGTGGTTTGGGTATTAAGGATCTTTTGTCTTGAACAGATCTCTTCTATTGAAATGTTGTTGGGATTTGGTTTCTTCTACTTCTTTGGCAGTTGTTTTTATTCGAGCTCGTTTCCTTGCGAAAGGTTCTTTTACTCCTCAAATTTACCGAAAATCATCTATTTGGTTGGGCCTTAAGAAGTTGTTGCCTCAAGTCCTGGAGAATTCTCAATGGGTAATTGGTAATGGTTCTCAAATAGATTTTTGGACTGATAATTGGATGGGTGATTCTTTGATGCATTTGTTAGGCATTTGTCCCTCAATTGCTTTCTCTTTTCATGCTAAAGTTGCTGATTTTATTAATAACTGTCGTTGGGATTTGCTTGTGAATTTTGTAAGGGCTTTTCCTCATTTGGCAGCTTCTATTGAGGCTATTGTTTTGCCTATTGAGCCGAGTGCTGATCATCTTATTTGGATTGGTGCTATGTCTGGTATTTTATCAGCCAAAGAAGCATATTTGTGGCTTTCTTCTCATAATGCCCCCGTGCCTTGGAGTACGGTAATTTGGGATAAAGCTCTTCAGGCTAGGAAAAGCTTGGTGGTTTGGAAAGCTTTACAGAGTCGGCTTCTTACGGATGAATTTCTCCAAAAGCATGGTGTGTCCCTAGCTTCTTGTTGTTCTTTTTGTTATCATTATGGTGAAACTGTTAACCACCTTTTTCTTACTTGTCCGTTTGTCATGGCCTTGTGGAAATGGTTGCTCCAGCTTTTTAACAAGTCTTCATGCACTGTAGATTCAATGGATAATCTTTTTGTTGGTCCTTTTGTGGAGTCCTTTTCGCCCTCTTCCCGCAAACTATGGTTATTGGTAGCATGCAATTTGGTGTGGGGTATTTGGCATCTAAGAAATCATATTCGTTTTGATCACTTGGTTGTTTGCCTGGATTATGCCCAACAATGGTTCCTTTCTCGTTTTAAGGAATCTGCGAATGCTTGCTTTGTCTCTGGTCATTCTCCTTCATCTCTACTGATATTCCAACTTTTGGGTTTTTTGCCTCTCACTCTGTCAGCCCCCAAGTTTATTCGTGTGTTGTGGGTCTCTTCCCCCTACTGGTTGGGTTAAAGTCAATATTGATGGTTCTTGTAAAGCTTCAGGCACAGGCTTTGGGGGTGTTTTCCGAAATAGTGAGGGCAAGGCTCTTGGTGTTTTTGCTTCTAATCAAGACCAACCTAGCTCAACTGCAGCTGAAGTTCTTGCTTTTCTTGAGGCTATCAGAGTTGCTTGGGTGAGAGATTGGAAGCATCTTTGGCTCAAGATAGACTCTTCTTTGGTGGTTCATTTTTTCTCCTCTACATCTTATTCCATTCCTTGGTTTTTGCGTACGAAGTGGCAGAACTGTTTGTGGCACATTAAACAGATGAATTTTGTTTGCACTCATATTTATTGGGAAGGTAATTGTGTCGCAGATATGTTAGCAAATTTTGGTGCCGATAACCGTGCCTATTACTGGTGGGACTTCTTACCTTCGTGGGCTGCTACCACTTAGGCTAAAGATTTAGTGGGTTTTCCTGGGTTTCGCTTTCGTTGATTTTGTGTGATGTCTAGTTTGATCCCATCCTTGGTTCGTTATCCCCCAGCTGTTTAATTATTCTTTTTAATAAATTTCTCCTCGTTCCGTCGAGGTTTAAGGAAAATGAAAAGTTATATAACAGAAAATTAGCAAGAATTAATTATTTCCTCCTCTTTGTGTTGGTCTGGCTAGGGAGTTAAAACCCTCTATGTATCTCATGGGGACAGATCACCCGTTCCCAAAATTGGTGTCCCCTTGTGTCCCATTCAGATTTGTTTTTTTGTTTTTTTTTGTTTTTTGTTTTGTTTGTTTAATAGTATCTCTCTTTCCCATATTACAAGAGATTTCAAGTTCAAAATCCACGGTGGTCACAAACAAAATATCCTAAATATTGAGCAATCTATTGAATATTTTTCTATGAGCGCTTGGCAAGTACCTACGGTCAGGGTGACTGATCTATGTACCTACAGTCAAGAGTTGGTCTGAATGCCAATTTACTCTGGCCTGGGACACTTGCATTGCAGAATGGTTTACTTTGGAGAAGAACTTGTATGTGGTTCATTTTTGTGAGTCTACAAGCCATGGAGTTAGTAATAATTTGTTTAGAAAACTCAACAAGTTATTAGAGCTATCCAAATAATAGAATTTATAACTTCTTTATTGAGTTAGTATTAGATTAATTGGTAAAAAATATCAATTACACAAAAAATATTTACCATATAATTTCTTTATTAATTTCTTTAATGATCATGTATTGATTGAATATTAACCAAAAGATAAAAACTTTAAAAATTCACAGTAAATTATAAAAACAGAAAAAAAATATAAAAACATGTGTTCTTGTTTTGCGAAATATTGTGAAGGGTCCGCGCGCTGACAATTATTCATCCACACATCGAACAATGATAAGGGCCAGCACCCTTTGGCTTTTCATGTGCGTCTATTTTCTTTGCCAGGTTAATATTCTTTATCTTCGGAAACTCCTTACCCATCTTCTCTTCTTCAATGATAATGCAAAAATTTATTAATAACTAATCATTGATCAATATACACATACATATACGCGGCCTTTTAGAGAGTGATTTCTATTGTTTTTAGAAAATGTGAGGCCCCATCTCGCATTGTATAAGTTAGTTGAATTGAAAATCTTGAATACATCTAATCGTGATCAAAGAAATAAGTACGTGAATACAGGTTCTGCAGATATATATGTATATGGTATTGGGAAAGAAACTTACTAGTTTATGAAAATTGGGAAACTCTAGCAAACGCTACTTCGGTGAGAACAGCAGCAGCAATAGGATAAAGAGACTCATCATGCAAACACCGTTGGCCTTGGAAACCATTTTTATGGAAAAGAAATACGTACGTGAATACAGCTCCCGTCGAGATGAGTCCGTAGACACGTCAAATCGGAGTTAAAACGAAGAGGTTACGATCAAAGGAATCATAATGGCACCATCGTAAATATTTCAAAAATGGTTTTTTAAAATCAGAATTTCCTCTCTCTCTCTCTCTCTCTCTCTCTCTCTGTGCGTGCGACACAGCCCCCCAACAGTGCAGTTGATTGGTTTTTGCTTTACCGCCGCCGCCACCTGAGCCGGGACTGGTCCCAAAATGACCGACCAGCCCTCCTATCTCCATTCCTCCCCTTTGCAGCCCCAGCCACCAACCATAGCTGCTAGAAAATAGAAAAATCAGGCTAGTTTTTACTTAAAGTTTCCGTCACTCGTTCTAGTGATAGCAGGCCACCAATTTCTTCTATCTAGGTATACTTTTTCATCCTCTCAATGTGTTCTAGCTGATGGTTGGGTTGATTAGGATCAATTTCTGCATTTTGAAACACAAATTTATTGCTTAAAGTTGGGCCAGTTTTCGACTCATGTTTTTGGCAAGTTTCGATCACTTTTTGGGCATGGTCCAAGAACAAAGTTGATCCACTCATTGTCCTGATCATGTAGGTATAGGTCTTCACCGGCGGTTTGGAGATTTTCTGATCGCCGAAAATACTTTGGGCACTCATGAGTTGTCGGCGAGTGTGGCGGTTCGTGGGCCACTTAGTGGTGGGCAGTTAGGTCCTAAAATGATCCCCATGTTGTCTTGAGCACAACGGTATGCTCGAATTTGAATTTTGTTATTGTTTGAATATCTATCGGATTACGTATATTAGGCGTTATCTGGATTCGTTATATTCGGACCGTTGGAACGACTCCATCTCCGAATATGTTGATCTAGATATCTCTAGGATCGTGTAGGAATTCGCAGATTGTGAATCGGAGTCCCGGATGCCCCAATTCAATGACTTAAAGTTTGCATTAAATAATAATCGTCCGATCGTGCGATCACGAGCAATCCGACCATTCGATTCGAACCAAACTTGCAGGACATGTATAATAAAACTTGTTGAACCCATAGGAACTTTGAGATCGGAAAACAGATGTCATGGGACCCATGGGCCCGGTTGACCAAATTCAGGCAGTTTGACCACTTGGTTGACCGAGCTCTTCCGAGGCTATTCCACCATGAGAAACACGTAGTCAGACCTTAGAAACTTCTCGTCCATCATACACACACTTGAATCCCATGAAATTAGGAATTTATTTTAAAGTCTTGATTTGAAATGTTTTATATTAATCTAGCCCTCGTGTTTTAAATTGGTAGCTACTCCTACTCAGCAGGCAAGACCTTCTCAGGGTTACTTGTGTGTGGACAGTGTTTTGAAATAGCATAATTTTTATTGATTAAATTACCATGCATCTAATATGAGATTTTTATGATTATGGAATGGATATATATATATATTATATCGTTTAATTATGAATAATTCTGCTTTTTTGATATTGAAGTTATAATTATTCGGAATATGGATTTTATATGTTGAGAAAGTGCTATTCACTTTGTGATTAAATAAATGGGCAAGAGATTAATATGAGTTAGGGTATTTTGTGATTGTTTTGTGAATATGTGATTGCACAATGCTAAGTACCCTCCTCTGGTTATTGTAACCACACGTGGTGTTGGATTATCTGGTGTGTGGGTACACATTTGGTTGTGTTATTATCTTATCACATGTGGCGTTGGAATTTGAGGCGTGTGTGCTGTAGAATGGTAGTCCCCCGGTTGGACAGCTCATCCCAAGACGCAGGGTAGAAAGTTAAAACCCTACGGGCTAGTCAAACAATCCCCCTATTAGATTGTTTCCCGGTACTCAAGTTGGTGTGATACTACCTCATATATGTATATATCTATATATAACATGTACACTATATATATTCATATACTTGCGGAATTTGGGGTATGTACTCATATAGTATGATTCATTGTAGTCTATATATATATATATATATATATATATATAAAACTATATATATTCGTATATATATATAAATATATAAGTTGATTATTTTGAAGTCATTCTTACCTCTGTCGTTTTTAAGTCTATCTTTCGGGAACGTTTGGATTGGATTCAAAGGTTTTGGTTTGGATATTATCATATTTTCTTGGGGAAGCGAGAATACTTTGATTTCACAATTTACATAGATATGGTAATTGCATGTTTTTGGCATTATTTTCCAAAATAGTGGGGTTAGTATGTTGTTTTCAAAAATATAACCAAACTTTTTTTTGTCCACTCACACGTTTTCTGTTTTGCACCCCTCAAGCATTAGAGAGACTCATATCGTGCAGCTGAGCCGAGATCTTAACCTCCGAGCCCGACTTGTGTAGGACAACCTTTATCTATTTGTTATTGTCGAACTGTGTTCCGTTTGCAAACTGAATTTACTTTAGATTGCTCTAATGTCGCTCATATTAAGGTTTGATTGTAAGGTCGGAGGCCATTGATGTTAATTGCATGTTATTAACTTGTGCATGTTGCCGATTGAGGTTTATATATGCTTTTGACATGTTTAAAATTTTGGGAATATCCATTATTTAGGGGAGACTCTGCTGAAATTTCAGCAAAAAGTCTCATCCCTTCTAGTAAGTGGGCCCAACATCGGTACCATGTCGGAAATACCACAGGATTCTTCTAGGATTCTGAGGAGTTCAGGGCAGGTCTTGTCCTTCTTTGCTTTCAGAGAAGAGGATGTTGTTAGTAAGTGGGCCCGGCATCGGTTCGATGTCGAAAAAAACCACAAGGTTCGTCATGGATTCCGAGCAATTAGGGGCGGGTCTTGTCAATAACACGATGATTTTAACATTATAGTAAAGACTTCAGAAACCGTTTACTTACCAGGAATTGAAGAAATAAGGAACCGCGGAAGTAATTAATCGGTATGGGAAGAATCATTCCAATTAAGGTGTTTACTAACCATATGGAATCAAGAATGAAGTTGATTCCCATTGTTATTATTTACTAATTTTCATGAATCAGAACCTAAATTAATTTGATTACTAAAATGCCTTGCATATATAAATATATATTTTTTACTTAAGTAACTTAGAAAAACAAAATTGACAAAACTTTATTTTATAACTAATGCATAATATGAGATTCTACATGACGAGTGATAAAAAAATAAAAATAAAAACTAGTATATAATAATATATGGAATATAATAGAAAAAACAAATTACACAGTGATAAGAAGCATAAAAAGACAAGTAGAGGCTAGCAACCAATGTGAAAGGAAAAAAATTTGCTTTTTCCAATGGTGATTAATAAATAGCCATTGAATATTTTTTAGGGTTTGGGGTGTTTTGGAATTATCGTAAAATAGTAAGGGTATTTTTGGAATGTAGTAAGGGAAAAAAGGAATGGAAATTGGATCTGCTACTCCCCCTAGTTGATCTTATTCCTAGTTTTGAGGGGGTTTGATTACGAATTTTGAGATGGGGCTCATGCAGTTTTTCATTCTTGATTGCAAGTAAACACGATAAAAGTCAGGAATGAAAATCATTCATTTTCTTCACATACCCATTATGGATACGTAAACATGCCTCAAAGTCTTCTCCTAGTAAGGAATTGAAGAAATATCCCACATTAAAAATCTAACAAAACTTGAAATGACTTATAAGGAGTTGGACTACTCTAACCAATATTGTCAATTTGTTTTGGGGCGTGGAACTTCAACTTCCTTCATGATAAGCATGACATGGGGGTGTATTCAATCCTATATTTATAAAGACTTTTATACTCTTTATGGAGTTAAGAGACAAGCTTAACGTACATAAATTGCACTACAACTTCCTCACCCTTTCTACACCGTTTCTCAATTCTTATGTCGATTTCATAAGTTAAATTCAACAAGAAAATTCAAACTTTTCAAACTTTTCTTATGGCGATGACTCTAATAGAGGTGTAGGAACTTCAAAGTCTTTTTCATGTGAGGATGTGAAGAAATGTCTCACATTATCAATCAGCAACATTTTGCTGCATTGTGACTACAAGCCTTGTGTTTCGTACTTCGGCACTGCTAAGCTTTTGAATCCAGACTCATCGAATTGGACTGCTCTTGTAGGCACATATATATCGATATGTAGGACCAGGTAAAATACCGAAATATAGAACCTTTTTTCTTTCTATATTGATGGTTTGCTCTTCCTTAATTTGTATGCAGAGTTGGCTTACACTGTGAAGGTAACTGAGAAATGTGATGTTTAAAGCTTTGGAGTGCTGGCACTGGAAGTGATTATGGGAAAGCAGGTGCCAGGCGATTTCGTCTCCCCCTTTTCATTTCCATCCACCACCTATGCAAACGTATTGCTCAAGGACGTGTTGGACCAACGCCTTCCCCCTCCTCTTCGTTCCCATCCACCACCTATGAGTACTATCGTAACTATTATTGCAAGGCTATCAATTGCTTGCAGACATCCCCATCCACAATCGAGGCCAACAATGCTAATGGTTTGTCAGGCGTTATCGTTCCAAACTGCTTCTCCCTATAGAGGACCAGACGATGTTACACTGGAACAACTCATTACGTTCTGAATTGCGTGTGACCTAGTTTTGAGGAAAAATAAGATCCTCTGGTTTGAACATACTGTAGTCAGACTTATCGGAGTTTTAATTTCTTATATATATAAACTTTAATTAGAATGTATATTGTTTTTAAGTTAGATTAAAATATTATATTATCCTTTCATACAAGTACTACTGACTTCTGGTTTGACCAGATTATCCTATTTATTACCACCTCTTATGGAAAATTAACATCACGAATTTTCATTTATTGGACTAAAGCTTGGGCTAACATAGGTCACCAACGACACACACAAACACTCAAATTTAGGGTAAGTGCAAATTCACATATATCGTAGCAAATTCATGCCACAAATAAACGATCATTAATCATCAACAAAACCACCCCCCTAAAACTATTACGTTAGCCTTATTTATAGTCTTTACAAGACTTGGACACCAAAGCTACTTGGATAAACAATAAACTAAGTAATTATAAAATCACACATAAATAATAAAATATACTCCAAAACCACATAAATAAGAAAATAACATTATCTCAAATGGTAAATATTTGTCTTCATCCACCCCTATGCTCCGGCATCACTAAGGTATTGGGCTAGCAGGTGCTGGCCTTTCACGTGCTCCTATTTTCTCTGCCAGGTTAATATTCTTCATCTTTGGAAACTCCGTACCCATCTTCTCTTCTTCAATGATAATGCAAAAATTTATTAATAACTAATCATTGATCAATATACACATACATATACGCGGCCTTTTAGAGAGTGATTTCTATTGTTTTTGGAAAATGTGAGGCCTCATCTCGCATTGTATAAGTTAGTTGAATTGAAAATCTTGAATGCATCTAATCGTGATCAAAGAAATACGTACGTGAATACAGTTCTGTAGATATATATAAGTATATAGTATTGGGAAAGAGACTTACTAGTTTCTGAAAATTGGGAAACTCTGGCAAACGCTACTTTGGATGAGAACAGCAGCAATAGGATGAAGAGACTCATCATGCAAACACCGTTGGCCTTGGAAACCATTTTTATGGTAGTCCGGTCTAAGTTTTGCTCCTCCTTTCCTACCTTCTTCCTTATATATATAATGCCAGTACGCACCCCATAAGTTGTAGTTTAAGTCGAGCTTTTTCGTCGTTTCACAAGCCAAGGTCAAGGTCTCGCGTTCACATAAAACCCTTCTGCATACTCGTATTAAATTGTTTTATTAAGGTCTTGATACCATTATTAGTTGTTGAATCGCTTACTTTCTGAAATTTTCGATGTATAATTTACATTATTCAATAGCCATAGTCAAGGATCCAAGTTATTAAATTGGAAAAAGGGATTCAAAAGCCAAAGTCAAGGTCTTTTGCGCGTTTTTGCTTTTTGAATTTTCTTGTTGAATTTAATTGATGAAATTGATCGAGGATTTTTTTTCGTTAGAAAAAATTGATAGAGACTTAACAACTTGGATGCTTGACAATGTTCATAATTTATTTATCTATATATATAAAGCAAAAGGCAGAGAATAGTGAAACATTCAAAATACCAGAAATTGCCCTTGGTTATTTCAAACATTAAGGGAGGTGTGTTCAATTGATATTTTAAAAGACTATTTAAAAATAAAAAAATCCAGCAGATTTAATCAGAATGTAATGACTTATAAGATTTTATTGATAATTCTGTATAATCAAGATTTTTAACTTTTGGATTTTAAAGATTATATCATAAGATTTTATCAGATTTGAAAGGACCACATGGATTTATATCATAAGATTTATATTTGGGTCTGACTAAATAGGGCCATAGCCCAAACCAAAATTTGAAACTTTTATAAATACCTAGCCCGACAAATATAGTGAACTAAGAATAGGGGAGGGTGCTGGTTTTACCATCTTAACGCTGGCCTGCTGCACAACTGGTAACTCCAATCAAATAGTATAAAAGGAACTTGCTTGTGTTACCTTATGAACTGTTACTGTTATGAGATATCATGTGGTTCTGTGCAAGTGAAGTTTCTGCCCTATGTTTTTTTGGGTGGTAGTATTTTCTCTTCTATTCCCTACCACCTTCTTTTCTCTTCTATCCATGTTGACAGAGGCAACAAGAACAAAAAAAAGTATTCTCGTTGGTCATCTTGTGTGTGAATTTCTAGTCTTGTTCGTCTAATGGATAGTTTCATTGAATCTCAAAGCTCCAAAAAAAAATGCATAAAGAAAGTTGACATGCATAGGTGCTTTGGCTGAAATTTATTCTATTCCCCAGGAAAAAAGGGGAAAAGGAAAAGAAAAGACGAAAAGTTACTTCCCTTGAAATTCTCCCAAACCTCCTATGAGTAAACAACATGAATCATGGCTATATGCAGAGAAGGTAAAGTGGGTTTGCAGGTATATAGTAGAGAAGGTGAAGTGGGTTTGCAAGTAGAGTTGCAGAGAGATGGCTGGTGGCAGTGAAGCTTTGGTGTTGAAGTTGGCTTTGAGAGAAGGCAAAGTGGATGAGCACAAAAAACAATCTCACGTGAAAAAAAAATAGTCTCGTGGGTTAGGGTGGGATTTGAGATAGGGATACATCTCACTAAAAAGTCTCACATAATTTCGCATTTGAAAAAATCCTTCGAAATTAACAAGTTTTTGAATACCCTAAGACTTTTTGTTACTTGTTTAAAGTCTTGATTGAATACCACAACATTTTGACACTCTCTTTAAAAAAATCCTAATAGTCTTAATGGAATACCACAAGACTTGTTTAGATTATTTAAAAGTCTTAATTGAATACCACAATACTTATTTATCCCAAAATAATCTTTTAAAATCTCAATTGAATACACCCCCCTAAGAATTGAAATTATACAAATTTATTAATTAAATAAGGATAATATGGTAAATTCACATTTTTCATATTTAAAAAAATTAAAATTAAAAACAAAATCAGATAATAGGTCATACTTTTATGGAACATAGCTACCCATGTTATCTTATCTTACTTCTAAAATAAAAAAATAAAAAAAAACCAATTGGCATATAATAGTCATAGTACAAGACCTTGACTAATAAAACAATTTAACTTAGTGATATTGGGCCTTTGTTATGCTTTGGGCCTCGGTAGAGCTTGTGAACTGCAAGACAACAAACGTTCGGTAAGGCCTTAGGCACCGGTGTGGTACCGGCCCAAGGCTTTCCGATGTTTAAGTAAGTACGGATTTAGAAAACTTAAACTGACAGATCAATAGGCTGTATGCCGTAAGCTCTGATTACCTCCATTTGGGGATAGTGGTCCTTTTTTATAGGCCTTAGGAGGTGTGCATATTGTTTAGAATTTCGATGTGGGGCTGTGGACATTGATTGTGGGCATGCCACGTGTCTTGGAGAAGGGAGTTGCCCTAATCGTTGGATCGGTAAGCAAGGTGCTGAAGGCCACCATAACTAGGTTCAATCTTGTCCACGCGTCTGGTCCTTATATGCTGTTCATTTTGGTATAAACAGGAGTCCCCCAAGTTCTCATCAGAGCGTTCTCGGATGGGGACTTGATACCTTCTTCGGTAATCAAAGTATTGTTCTATCGTTCAGTGATTTAGCAGAGGGTAGTGCTTGATCTTTATCCTTCTGCACTTCTTTATTCTGAAGCAGACACCCTGGAACTCAAGGGTTGCTACTTCGAGGCGAAGTGATGGGACTGAACGATGCTCTTTCTCCTGTGCCCCACTTGCTGTCAGGACATCTGCACCCAGAATGACACGTGGTGTGTCCACTCATGTGTAGCAGCTCTATTAATGAGCCGTTTGGTTTTTCAAGGCATGCCGTTTCAATCCCTCGCCCTATAAATAGGAGTGGCTCTGGATGAGAAGTTCACTTTGCATTTGTGAGTGAAGCGAGAGCTCTATTCAGGCAATTTCCGGCGAGGGCTAACGGCAATCAAGGTGATTTCCGATGAAACCAATCGGCAGTTCATACCATATTCCTTCATCCATAGTTCGAGATAAGGTACCATTCGGCACTCTTTGAAATACTTTTACTTATTCTATGCACGTCCTTCCTTAGCACGAGCTAGACTGAACTTTGTGCAAGTAGGGTTTCATTCGGTAGTCTGGTTGTCATAGGTAGCTATGTAGGTATCGATAGGCTAGTCTTCTGCTTGACCCTTAGTTTCCTTTTTCCTGTGTTTTGTAAATGTCCGATAGCGAGTCTCCGTTCGAGAGAGAGCCCAATGCGTTAGATGGGGAGTCATCTGATGATCAGGGGGATACGAATAGTGAGGCCGTAAGCCTCAATGCTGAGGGTGGAAAAGATACCGATGTCAAAATACTCGGTGAGGGGACAAGTTCCGTTCCTACCCACGGCATCGGGAGGGGACTTATGACAACCCAGCCAGTACCGTTGGTTGTGGTGTATAGCGTCAGTAGTCATGCCGATGCGAACCAGCATTGCGAGTTCCATACGGGGGGTACTCGGGTGCCAGACGAGCACACCTGCTATCAATCGGAGACCTCCACTTCTGCCCGTAGAGAGGCAACTACCAAACCTATTTCACAATCGATCGAGGGTATCCATAGTTCACTGGGGAAACCCTAGGGTACCTGTAGGCGTGCCGAAGGAACATCTATTCAGTGTGCACTATTTGGAGCCCATAAGATGACTGAGTTTGGTAAACTATACATATCCATAGGTTGTGGGTTAGTTTTGAGGCATAAGTACTTGGTTTTAAACTATACATATCCAGGATAGTAATTTGGTTGAAGTTTGATACCTGAGTTTGGTAAGCATGACTACAAAATCAGTCAAAAACAAGGGCTGCAGTTTCAGTTTTGAAACTCTTATTTGGACTGCCTTGTCTTATAAATTAGAGCACCATTTCTGTCAAATTTTATATGGTTTCAAAGTTTATTTAATCAGATTCAGGATGCATGTAATTTGGTAGAGTTTAAAGTTTAATACACAATAGCTGAAATTGAGTTAGTTTCTCTGGTGGTGCAGGAGCAACAACAATTTTCTAAAAGCTCATGTCAAGACATAAGTTGGTGGTTCAATTGATGAATGTCAAGGTAAACTTAATTTACACACACAACTACCTACTTGATCATATAATACCAGAAAAATTGGAGTTTATGGTTCTGTTGCTGACAGGATATTTGGAAGCAACAACAAAAACATGACTGGATAATTGGACAACCAGCTGATGGTAGCCCTACTGCACAGTTTGAGCATAGGTTAGATGTGGTTTGATATGTTAGAGATTGATTTTTGTTATTATATTCATGAGTGAATGGGTTCGAGAGATTGTGAACAAGTTAATTGTAGGTTTTGTGAACAAGTTAATTGTAGGTTTGGCAACACTTTTATGTGTTTCTTTTATACTCTAAAGAGTTTGTATTTGGAATTGATTATGATTGGTATAAGTTTTCTTTTTAAGTTTGGTTGCAATACTATTTTTTTTTCCAGGTTAATAAAAGATATAAGTATTTTGTTACTATGAAACAAGAGTAGGGAGGAAATTAATTATTATTTTTTAATTATAAAAAAAAAGTCAATCACAGCGTGCAAAACACGCCTTAAATGGGAATAAAAACCCTCTTTTATGGCGTGCATTGAATGCCGTAATAACTCTTTTATGGTGTGCAGGGCACGCCGTAAATAGTTGTCCAAACTTTTACAAAAGCGCAATCATGGCGTGCATTATTAACGCTTGCGGCAAGCAAATGCACGCCATAAAAGAAAAATACTTTTTACGGCACGGTCTTTTATGGCATGCAGCAGCACGCCGTGAATTGTCATTTACGGTGCACATCACACGTCGTAAATACCCAGTTTTCTTGTAGTAAGGAGAAAGTGAGAGAGAAAAGAAGATAGAATGGGAGACTTGAGTTTGTGAATGCAGTGGAAAATTGGGAAACACATCACATTTTTAGCAAAAGCTTTGGTGTCAAGGTAGGGGTTTCTTGGGGGCCCTTACGGGGATTGATCTAATTAAATTTCATGAGCCCTATATTATGTGTGATATTATAATGGAAGTTCTTGATTGTACAGTTTGGTCACTATGCCAAATTTCACTTCCAGCAACAATATACAAGCATCGATAAAACGAAAAATCAATGCTATTAGTACATTAGGCATCGATTTTCCAAATAACGATACTAAACAGGTATAAAGACATTAGTACAAATTTTTAGTTTTTTAATGAAGATGTCTTTGATTCCCCTTTAGCATCAACTCTCAAAATCACAAATGCCTAAAGTGTGATTTTTTTTTTTTTTTTTTTTTTTTTTTTTTTTTTTTTTTTTTGTTTGTAAGAGATTTTTATATATTTAGTTATAGAAAAAAAAAAAAAAGCCCTAAAGGGTAGTCCAAACGCTAGTCCAAAAAATTTCAAAACACTCTCTCTTCTCAAACTCTCACCCTAAACTAGCCTCCATCTCCCTCTCAATTTTTTCAGTCCCTCTCAAAATCTCGCCCTAACTTCCATCTCCCTCTCATTTTTTTCCTACCCCTCACAAGGTGTTGGTGGTTTATATGGTAGAGGGATATACGAGATGGCAGTGGGGAATATGAGGGGTTGGTGTGCGATGGTTGCTGGGGAAAAGAGAGAGATAAAGAAGAATATAAGTTTTTGATATTAATTTTTCAATTTTTTTAATTAAATAAGTAATTAATTTTTTATTTTATTAATATTTTAGTCCTTAACTTTAAACCCCCCCAAAAAAAAAAAAAAAAACAAAAAAAAAAAAAAAAAAAAAAAAAAAGTGGAGTCTGACACACATTACTCGTGAAAAAAGGACTAAAATAGCCCTGCCACGTCCTCAAAATTGACAGAGTTATGAATGGAGATAATGGTAGGGGGCAAAGTGGAACACAAAACCTTGGTAAAGGGGGTTAAGTGGGCCATTTTAACTTTCGGGGGGTAAAGCGAGATTTGACCAAAGTTTCAAGGGCACTACAGTAATTAAGCCTTATATAAATCCTTACAGTCATATAAAATTCAAATACAATCATATATTATATATGCCAAATATGAGAAGGGTTAGCTGAACAACCACCCCTCGGCTTTAGTCCCGCTAGCTCAGTCCGGGCCGGCCAGTAGATGTTTCAAATATATAGGTACGATTTTTAATTTATCCCGTTCACGGAGTCCCACCTGAACCCGAGCTATCTGGGTCATCTGCGCCTATTTTCTTTGCCAGGTGAATATTATTCATTTTCAGAAGCTCTCTACCTTTGTTCTCTTCTGCAATGACAATAAAAAACTTGATTAATAATCAGTCATGATAAACAATTGATAAATGTATACATACATATACATGACCCTTGCAGAGAGAGATTTCTATTGTTTCTAGAAAATGAGGGTCCCTTGAGAAGCCCCACATGGCATTGTAGCTGAATAAAATCTAAATTTTTTTAGTCTCTATTTAAATCTCTTGCAAAAAGTTAGTTCAATTGAAAATCATTGATACATCTAATTGTAATCAAGGATATATGCGAATACACCTTTTTGATGAACTCTAAGTTTCGTTGAACGCGAACATAACACACATCCAATTGTAGGGTACCTTAAAGGGCGTTCCTCAAATACAATTATTTGAGGGATCCCTCAATAGAAGAGGACTGTATATATATATATATATATATATATATATATATATCTTTGGGAAAGAGACTAATTGGTTTCTGAAAAGTGGGAAACTCTGGCAAATGCTGCTTTGGATGAGAACAACAGTATTAGGATGAAGAGACTCATCAGGTAGCTACCCCTGGGAACCATTTTTATGATAGCCAGTCAGGTACAAAGTTTCGCTTCTCCTATCCCCAATCCCAAACCACCTTCCTTCTATTATATATAATGCCAGTAAACACCGCACAAGTGGTAGTAGTTTCCACTGATTACACAAGGTCTTTGCGCGTTTCACAACCCACACACCTTCCTTTACGTGAACCAAAACTATAAAGTCAAGGTCTTTGCGCGTATCATCCTTCTCTAGTCTAATAAGATCATTTTGTTTCAATTTTAAGAATATAGTGGTCACCTACCGTTTGATTTAATTCGACGGTTAATACTGATCCACACTTCAATTTTATATTAAAAACAGTCTGAAATAGTAGTAAGCTTCCTTTAGAACACTTCCACTCATTTGCCATGACAAAGGACAAGAGCAAGCAAGAGTGGTTACTGTTCATGTGAATAATGTCTGCACTAGCTTTTTTTGTTTTTTGTTTTTTTTTTATGTGCTTCTCCACCCATTGCCATGGAAACCTAAGGGAAATTACTATTCACATAAGATTAATTTTATTTATATATATATGAGAATAATAATAATAAATTGCTAGGTATTTATAACAAAAAATTATGAATTTTTTTTTTTATAATTTTTCAAAATTTTGCATTGTGATAGTCAGAGCACGATCCACTTGAGCAAGAATCCGAGTTTTCACTTGAGGTTGAAGCACATTGATGTGCGATATCACTAGATATGTGATGTGTTGGAGTCCAAGAAATTACAGCTTGAGAAGATCCATACTGATGACAATAGTTCAGATATGATGACCAAGTCCTTACCTAAGGACAAGTACAAATTTTGCAAAAGAGCAGCTGGACTGCTGAAGCCCTCCATCTAAGTCAGGAGGGGGAGATTGATGAGTTTCCCTCATTAGTGGAGGAGAGAAAAAGAAGGAAAATAAATAGTAAAATAAAATGAAAGAAAGGACGAGAGAATTTGAAGAAATCGAATGGGAGAGAAAAGGAGAAAAACTCTCCTTTATGCATGGCCACCAACTTAGTTAGGAATTTTGGCTATAAATGCCTTCTTTCAGTTCAATATATCCCTTAGAAAACCAAAACTTAGAGAGTTTTGAGAGATAAGAAAGCCTCACTACTATGAGAGAGAAAATCATCTTGAAAGAAAAATCAAGAGGGAGTTTAGTCACCGGTGTTTGGTGAGATTATTATTGTATTCCCATTATTTTCATAGTGAAAAATATTGAGTGTTAGTTTTTGCCCATTTTATTTACACAAGGTTGGGAAAAGTCAGATCTTGAGACTGTCAAATTTATTTATTGGCTCTTTTATTTTTCACCATCTTTCCCAACAATTTGATCCCAAAAATCTTATTTTTTTAACCCAACACTCTTTACATTTTAATATCCTCTGCTCTACCGGTTAGAGTTCACCTTCAAATGGATGCAAAAAATATTTGAGTTCGGGCAAATAGTTGTTTTTGGAGGTGAAAATTTTCAAGTTAGTCCCATCTGGATTGAGATGGCCTAAGCAAGAAGCTTCAAATAGCCAATAGCTACAACAATCAAGGGTGTCGAGCCAAGAGCTCACCAACCTAAATCAACTAAGGTGCCCAATAGCCTTTTTCTAGGAGCTGAGATGTGTAGTAGCAGCTATAGCCTATATGAGTGGAGGGACAATAGCCTAGTCCTAAATCAACACACCAACTAGCCAAGACGAAGATCTATACAACTAGAAGGCCAATAGCCTATAGTTCAATGTACACAAAGTCATGTATTCTTTTTCTCCAGTCTAATTAGAACATTTTGTTTCAATTATTGTTCTTATTGTCGTAAACTCCCTTCAACCTAATCCAACATTTTGTGACTGGTAAATAATAATTATTTGTAAATCGTAGCTCTGTTACAATTCACTGGCAATGATGAGGTCATCAGTTACCGTCTTCATATCATGTGCAGTGAATCCATCATCCTTTATATAAATCCTTATAGTCATATAAAATTCAAACATACAATCAAATATTATATAAATTTGTATATTAATATATGCCAAATATGAGAAGGGCCGGCCAGTAGATGTTTCAAATATATAGGTACGATTTTTAATTTATCCCTTTCCCGGCCTCGATGGACCCGAGCCAATTGGGTCATTTGCTCTTATTTTCTTTGCCAGGTGAATATTATTCATTTTCAGAAGCTCTCTACCTTTGTTCTGTTCTGCAATGACAATAAAAAAACTTGATTAATAATCAATCATGATAAACAATTGATAAACGTATACATACATATACATGACCCTTGTAGAGAGAGATTTCTATTGTTTCCAGAAAATGAGGATCCCTTCAGAGGCCCCACATGGCATTGTAGTTCAATATTATATAAATTCTTTATACTATTTAAATATTCTCTTGCAAAAGGTTAGTTCAATTGAAAATCGTTCATACATCTAATTGTAATCAAAGATATATGCGAATACACCTTTTTGATGAAAACTCTAAGTTTCGTTGAACACGAACATAACACACATACATAGAAAATATATATATATATATATATGTGTTTATTTGGGAAAGAGACTAACTGGTTTCTGAAAAGTGGGAAACTCTGGCAAACGCTACTTTGGATGAAAAGTGGGAAACTCGGGCAAACGCTGCTTTGGATGAGAACAACAACATTAGGATGAAGAGACTCATCAGGTAGCTACAAAGTTTCGCTTTGGATGGAACCATTTTTATGATAGCCAGTAGGGTACAAAGTTTCGCTTCTCCTATCCCCAATCCCAAACCACCTTCCTTCTATTATATATAATGCCAGTAAACACCGCACAAGTGGTAGTGATTTCCACTGATTTCATTAGTCAAGGTCTTTGCGCGTTTCACAACACTGCCGCACCTTCCTTTATGTGAACCAAAACTGATTAGTCAAGGTTTTTGTGCGCACAGACCTTAAATAATGAAATCAGTGGAAACCAACCACTACCACTGAGGACTCTTTTGTATTTATAATATAATAGTAAATTAAGTTTAGACCCATAAAATTTATTTTTAATCACCTACAACTTTTTCCTTTATAGCTATTAATTTGTGAAAACGAGCAGAGAGTTTATGTGATATTATTGCAAGTTTTATTGACAATTGCTATCATTGCTTTAAATTTGGGAGAAAAACGAACAGTTTTTTTTAATAGTATAAATGCATTAGCTAGTTGGTTGATACATCAATGTTGAGAATTAGAACTTTTACATTTACGGAGAAATTAATTTTTACTATTCCATTTTGTGCATATGCATATATTTTCAAAAATTTCATTACTCCCATATAATGTGCTATATTGAAATCCATTGTTGGTACAATATTATTTTGGACGTTAGTTTTTGAGATCGATTGTTGTCATTAACTTTAATTAGAAGCTTTGCAACGGCCATTTCATTGACATAACTGTTTTGTACCTTGGTATTACTTTCAATCATTATTTTGGTTGCCGTTAATTTCTTTTTATGACTTCATTTCAATTGGTCTTTCAAATAAGGCAATTTCTTATTGTGATGGTTATTTTTAATTGCTGAAGGTTTTACTACAAAATCTTTTTGGCTGAAGCAATCAAAGTATTCATTAATATTTTTTCAAACCACATAAAACTATTAGTATCAAACCGTGTTATATATATATATATATATAATATCAGTTTTATTTTATTTTGTGTATTTAGTCGTTTTACTATATATTTATTATGATTGTTAAGATGACATTGAATTGGCATTAGAGTACCAGCCGTTAGACTAGCTTTATGTGATATCAAAATTGAAATGGTAAGCTTGCAGGTATTATTTTATTTTGACTGATTCGTTTTGTTTGTAATGGAAAATATAATTTGAATTTAGTGGTTTTGGACGTTAGCTCCTTTTGGTTCCAAAAATGGTTAATTGATATTAATTAGAAACTTTTGCATTGCACATTCAATTACAAGATAATTTTTATTTACTGCAGCTTTATTTTCCAGCCTTAATTTCAAAACTTTAGTGCCTCAATTGCATATTATCAATTTTATGACGTTTGGAGATTTATGTCTGGCAACAGTTGTTGATATTGTTACGGGTTTATTGCATTTAACGTACTAAATATTTATACAATTTCATTACATCTTTGTTTTAATCTCTTGGATTCATTTTAAAGTTGTCAACGGCTTTATATTTCAATTGTGCAATCCTTATTTCATATTAGTTACTTGAGTTAATCTTGATAAAATATATTGAGTGAACTAATGTTCTTTTGATTGTGAAGTCTTGACAGCTGCCACATTGAGTTAATTGTCAAGAAGTGTACATTGTGAAACCTTCTGGAGAAAACTGAAATAAAATGATAAATTATATCACTAGACTTCTTATTGTCTTATAGGTTCATATTGAGAATCGACAAGATACAATTTCAACTTGGATATGTGATCATGATTTCAGCCATTTGGAGTGCACAAAAGGGAGTAAGGGTATCCTGAAATGCTCATTGTTTATAGTTAAATTTATTTAATGAATTAATTGTTATATTGTTGTTCATAAGTGGTAGCAGGTGTACTCTTGATTAGAAGATTTAATGTATGATGTATTGCCATTATACTTAACTGTATACCAATGCGTATTTAATTTCCAATTAAACTGAGGTGAAATCCACTAATTATTTGTGTGCAAGATTGTGTAGGAAATATTTTAATAACATGCAGGTTTAAAGCGCGCTAAAATGGAGAACAAAGACATGACCTACATTATATATGCCTTGCGAAGGCTAGTTTTGATATGCATGCCTCGTGGAGGAGGCTATTAATGCAAAATGTCCAGGGGGATGTGCTTAAGCCCATAAGGGAGTCACCTAGGGAGGTAACCCAACTTCTGTGATTGGAGATCCCATGAAGGAAGTTCAATGTGGTAGAAACAATCCATATTGTGTGACTCATATAGCACTCATAAAACTATGGAGATATCCTTGAGATATTCTTCTGCTCATCCCTAAGGCAAAAGTGTTATTTTATGTGACGTTAGGAAGGGATTTATCCCTGAATGAGTTTCGAGGCGGGCAAACTCCCGCAGGGTGTAGGTCACATGTACTCTTGGAGAACTCACCTAAGTGAGAGACGTCCTGAGACCGCAACTGTGAGAATTGGGCTATTCTCTAGTAACTCTCATGAGAATCAAGATTAGCGCATGGCCATAAATAGCGCTACCCCGCATCCAAGTCTCAACTAATACAATGTGTGGGATATGTTGAAGTTTGGTCAAAGGTGCCGAGTTCAATACTGTGTACACTCAGGTTCCTCAAATGGAGACTATCATCACTAAGTGAAGGTTCAAGCCCGGAAGGCACCTACACCTATTACATAGTATTATATTGCCCATATATATTATATATATTTTTCACGGTAAAATTTTGAAAACCTTGTGGGGGATTGTTGGAATTTTAAAAGATTTTAAAAATTTAACCGTTTTATTTATTTAATTATTTTGGCTATTTTATTTTATTTATTGTGGGGGTTATAAATATTTAATATTCAGGTTTTATTTTTGGTTGGTGAATGCCTTAATTTTTTGGTTGGTGAACTTTTATGGTTGGTGAAGGTTACATGTTTTTGGATGCCTATAAAAAACTACTCCTCCTTCACATTTGAAATAACCATAATACACTATCAGAATATCACATACACATTCTAATTCTTCTTTTTTCTACTTTTACATATATTCTCTACTTTATATTATTATTATTATTATTTTGGGCAATGGTTATGTGACTTGGATACTTATATCTATCTATGAACGTACTCATAGCGGATCTTGAGTTTGTATATAAGGGGTCGTATCTTGGAGTCTTGTAGACTATCAGTACCTGCACGTAGGGAGGCTACAAAGATTTTAGGACAACGTCTTTGACGTGCTTCACCGTACCAAACTCACCTTCTTACCTATTATTTATTTTCCTTTTATTTCCCTATTATTTTGTTTTCTTCAATTTCATTATACCTTCAAAGCTTTTCAATTTGTTTATATGTTATTTATAATATAAATATTTTGTATTTGGCTTTACGGAAAGAGGAAAACTATTATTTTTTATAACACTTCCTACAACCTCCTCTGAAAGCTCATGCCCAACAAAATAGAGAGCTGGAAGGACTATTGGTCCAATGCCAATTGATATATATCCATTTGTCATATACTCCTCCATTGTTGGCACTGACTTGTTTCTCAACCACTCAGCTTCCTTCAGCCCAGACTTGAGCAAATCCAACCACTGAAAATCAAACATAGCTCAATTCATCCCTAGTTCCATGAATAAAAACAAGTTGAACTTGATAAAAGAAGCTGGTGAGGAAGACATAGTGCTTTTAGAAAGGAAAATTAAAAGATTTTAACTTACAGTCTCAATTATGTCACTTGTCACACTGCGTCCTTGTCGTGTGAATGCCTTGACTCCAAGCTCATTAATTGTGTTCTTAAGTGCTGAAGATATAATTTCAACATGCTCGGAACAACAATCAACATTCACATCCCACCTGAGGTTTAGACACAAGGAAGTTTAGGCCCTCAATGCTAGAAAAACAAAATAAGGAGCACAAGCATAAATTGCTGACCAAAAAATTGATCCAATGGAAATAGGAGGGGAATGGGAACAGGAAACGTACTTCTCGATCAATTGTATAAGGCTTACCAGCTCCTCTTCAGAACCTCCAACGTCAGTGAAATCATCAACCACAGTTGTAAGCACTCCACTTTTGGCCCATGACATGCGGGCATCTGATAGTTCAGGAGGAAAATGTCACGCCCCGGACCCGGGGGTTGGTGGAAACCCCGCGCCCGGTGCGTGAGAAAATAAAAACTAAAATAAAAAGATGTCAAAACATAGTTTAAAATTCTCTTATAAAAATAGCTCAAAATTACAACTTTACATGAAATAAATAAAGCTCTATCACTCTCATCTAATTCAGCCTCAACTGGTTTAGTCTTTTTCTTGCCCACTAATTCATCTGAAAAATTAAACCGGGTGAGGGGTGAGCAACCATAGCTCAGTAGGGACACGAGACCTTACCACAGTAGATTGATATAACTAAATTAAGTGACATGCAATCACATAACCAAATAATACTAATAATAATACATGAATGCTCTTCAATTCTACCCAACTCGTTAATTTATAGAATAGGGCAAGCAAATCTGCATGTCCCATGCCATGCATTTTACCACTGTGATTCCGAATGCCCCATTATATAAACTAACACCCATCTTAGTTATCCCATAATTCCCCTTTTGTTAGTCATCTTGTCTACACCATTGATCTCCAAGCCCAAATCAACAATTATACCGCCGATTTCCTAGTCTACTGTGCACACGGGCTCGCATGAGCTTGGTCCCTACAATGGTCAGACTCAACTACACAAAAGAACCTTCCCATTACCCTCTTTTCAATAATTTCTTTATTAATCCAAGAATTCCAACCATCACCGATAACATATGATTATGTCAATATTAATAAAATATAATGATAATTAACAACACTTAAACACCCAATATCAGTAATAATCAAATAATAATATCATGCATAATATATTGCTCACGAAATTTAATTAGATCAATCTTTGTAAAAGTCACCAAGAAACCTCTACCTCGATTCCAAAGCATTGCTTCAATTTAAGAAAACACAAGCTAAGTCCTATACCTCCTCCAAGAATTTCATCATATATATATATATATATATATATATATATATCTCTATGTTCAATTGCTATGCACATAATGTCCTATATATATAGGCAATATGTCGGCAGTGACTTCCTTCCTATTGGATGGTGTTTGGCGGTTTACATTTACTTACCATCCAAGTTATATTCATGTGGTGGTCTAATTTTGCAGATAAGGTAGTTCCCAATTCCTCCAATCCTATACAACCTTTCTTGGTGAATTGACAAAACTAGTATATAGCTATGCTGACTAAGCATTTGTTTTTCTTTGACACATACTACATTAATAATGACTAAGCATATCCATAATAGCAATGACTACACGTAGCTACACTAACAAAGACTAAGCACATCCATATATAATAGAATAGGACATTTATGTAATACACACATATATCTACCTTGCAAGATGGTTGAGCTCTTTATGGTGTATAGACTGGCAAATGTTGAAGTCTTCCACTGCCAGTTTTAGAAAATCTTCATTTCCAATATTCAAACAACTAGCATGAGAGCACAAGGATAAATAAGTAATCTGCCTTGATCCCTCATAATAATTTGGCAGAAATCAAATTCTTCTTAAAATAGAGGGAGAAGAAGAGAGAGACAGGAGGAAATACTAGAGGTTTACCTATAAGATGATTTTAAAATTCTTGTACTTGTAAGATTTTATTGCTCTCCTGCTTGACAACCGGCCCAAACTTGCGTAGAAAGGCAACTTAAGAGCATCATCCACCTTCAAATAATCAAAAGGTTAAATTTGAGGGAATTACCTTGTGATTATAAAAAGCTACATCACCAGATCAACAACAGAGATTTATCACAAAATTACCTCCAGGCCAATATGCTTATTGAGTCTACGAGCCTGAGTTAAAGTATTGGATAACTCCTGTTTCAGGAAATGACTCATCCAGTTTTTTTGTTTCTCAAGAACCGATTCATCTGGATGTATGATGATTTCTGAAGCCTTAAACAATTCTAAGGCGGCACCAATGTCCTTCATATATGAACGATGAAGGTAAAAAGATTTTCAAAACAAAAACCGTATGAGCATGCAAAATAGCAACAAAAATAGTGAGAAATGAAAGCTTACCTTTTGCGTGCAATGAAAGCTTTCTCTCGGAGTTTGGTGTTTAAGTTCAGAGACGACGACGAAGACGAGAGGAAGACGATGAGATACTCTGACAGTGCTCTGACAAGGAAAAAAGACGAAAAGTTTTCTCTGGGAGATTGAAATTTTTTCTCGGGTTTGGAAACAGTGCATGTGTAAGTCAGGTAGACGAAAAGTTGTATATATATACAAACTGTTTCATAATAATAAGACGGCGGTTTACATAGAACGACGACGTATAAATAAATAAACTACGACGATAATTTGAACTTAGGACGTGGTAAATAAATACGACAGTAGTGTTGTAGGTACCGTCGTAGTAAACTCCTAAATAAAAGTCGATAAATCAATGTCTCGCGTCATGGTAGAAGTATTTAACACGACGTTTTTTTGTAATTTACCGACGTTGATTTTTATAATATACGTCGTTTTTTTTAATATACCGACGTGAAATTTATAAATAAACGGCGGTTTGTGTGTAAGGACCGCCGTGGGTTTTAAAAATTTATTGTATAAATTTGTCGCTTTCTTTCAGTTTCAGTTTTCATTTAGGTTTCCAAGTTCTTCCTCTCTCACAGACACTCTCTCTTACATCTCAAAGACAATAATTTGGATGTCTTTCTCAAAGAGAAATGGAGCTTACTCTCCAACAAATCAACGCACCAACTAGCCAAGACGAAGATCTATACAACTAGAAGGCCAATAGCCTATAGTCCTATGTACACAAAGTCATGTATTCTTTTTCTCCAGTCTAATTAGATCATTTTGTTTCAATTATTATTCTTATTGTCGTAAACTCCCTTCAACCTACAATCCAACATTTTGTGAATGGTAAATAATAATTATTTGTAAATCGTAGCTCTGTTACAATTCACTGGCAATGATGAGGTCATCAGTTACCGTCTTCATATCATGTGCAGTGAATCCATCATCCTTTATATAAATCCTTACATTCATATAAAATTCAAACATACAATCAAATATTATATATGCCAAATATGAGAAGGGTCAGCTGACCACCGCCCATCGGCTTTATTACCGCTAGCTCAGTCCGGGCCGGCCAGTATATGTTTCAAATATATAGGTATGATTTTTAATTTATCCCGTTCACGGAAGCGTTGAACCCGAGCCAATTGGGTCATTTGCGTTGATTTTCTTTGCCAGGTGAATATTATTCATTTTCAGAAGCTCTCTACCTTTGTTCTGTTCTGCAATGAGAATAAAAAAACTTGATTAATAATCAATCATGACAAACAATTGATAAATGTACACATTGTAGAGAGAGATTTCTATTGCTTCCAGAAAATGAGGATCCCTTGAGAGGCCCCACATGGCATTGTAGTTCAACAATATATAAATTCTTTATAGTCTCTATTTAAAGATTCTCTTGCAAAAGGTTAGTCCAATTGAAAATCATTCATACATCTAATTGTAATCAAAGATATATGCGAATACACCTTTTTGATGAAAACTTAAGTTTCGTTGAACACGAACATAACACACATACATAGAAGATATATATATATATATATATGTATATTTGGGAAAGAGACTAACTGGTTTCTGAAAAGTGGGAAACTCTGGCAAACGCTGCTTTGGATGAGAACAACAACATTAGAATGAAGAGACTCATCAGGTAGCTACAAAGTTTCGCTTTGGATGGAACCATTTTTATGATAGCCAGTCGGGTACAAAGTTTCGCTTCTCCTATCCCCAATCCCAAACCACCTTCCTTCTATTATATATAATGCCAGTAAACACCGCACAAGTGGTAGTGGTTTCCACTGATTTCATTAGTCAAGGTCTTTGCGCGTTTCACAACACTACCGCACCTTCCTCTATGTGAACCAAAACTGATTAGTCAAGGTTTTTGTGCGCACAGGCCGGTTCTAACATGTTAAAAACGTCTTCTTTTTCCTCATATGAGGACTCTTTTGTATGTATAATATAATAGTAAATTGAGTTTAGACCAAAGACCAAAAACCAAATGTAGTACCTAATTTTACAAAAATATCATTAAAAAATCTCAAAATTACACACAATGCCATTCCTTCTAAGGCAAGCATACTATGCCACATGTCCATATCTAGCCAACCACCATCGCCAGCCAACTGCCGCCGGCCACCATTGCCGGAATCCCGCCACCGGCCACCTGCCAACACCACCTCCGGCCACCACCGTCAGACTCCCGCCGCCGACCACCTACCATCACCACCGCCCGTCGTAGGCCTGCCACCATCTACAGGGGACCAATTCCGTTGCACTTTATTCACCTTTAAAAAAATATATATTTTGTGTCATTGAATGGACTTGAACATTGACCCTCAAAGGAAGAAGGCAGAAAAGCAATATAATCTTTAAAACACTACAATCGCGACCAAGAAGCAAATCGTTATGAGAGTTCAGATAGGGTTTTGACATACCAGAATGAGATCAAATAGGGTTGATTGGTCATTGTGATCAGCGCCGATCTTGAACTCAGCAAGATAGTGATCGTAATGCTCTTCATCTTGAGCCAGAAGACCTTGGAGTTGCCGGTGAAGGCCGAAGGGATGAGCAGCTTAAGAATTCTATAGCAGGTGAAGGTTGTGGTCGTCATTGCTATGGAGAGAGAGAGAGAGAGAGAGAGAGAGATCTAATCTGATAAAAATAAAATAAAATAAAAAAAGGGAAACCAATTAATCTTTTAAACAAAAAGGGTATAATTGTCTTTTCAGTTATTAATATAAGGTGGGCCAACGAATCTGGGTCTCCTCTTCGGCCAAATCCAAAACAAAATTTCATTCCTAGGTATTAAAGCCCAAACAGAAATATTGTTTGTCTCAAATACTAATTAGTAAAGATAGTTATGTCTATTACCTAATTTTTGTTAAAATTTATTTTTAATCACCTACAACTCTTTCCTTTATTTTTCTATTTAAAATACTCAATTTTTTTAAATAAAACCCGATTACTAGGATCCAAGTAAGAAAAGTTACTTAATTTAGATTAAAATATGATTTATTATATTTTTCGGATTCCAAAACTACCCCTATTTACAAGTTAACGTATTATATGAGGGTGTAACTAATGACACACATTGAATTTGGAAAGATCTCCAAATCGTTTTAATGGATGTATGAATTAATTTAGAAATGTATTTGAAATTAAATATTAAATTCAACATTAATGTATTAGTAATCTATAGGTGATTAACGTTTTGGTTTATTTAATAAAAAAATTATGTTGTTTTCCTTTTATGAATTATACGACTAGTAATCTATTTTATTATAGTTTTATGAATAATAGTGTACATTCTAATTATGTTAAAAAATAATTTGATAATCTATTTATTATTTGATTTATGAAATATTTCTCCAAATAATGTACTATAATGAACCTCTTTTTCTCTAAATTTTGTATCTATTTTTTTCTCTAAATAATGTACATATTACTTGTTTTATGAAAAATAATTTGATAATCTATTTATTGTTTGTTTTATGAATTTTTTTTTTAAATGAACCTTTTTTGTTTTGCTCTAAATAATGTACCTATTTTTTTGCTCTAATAATGTACCTAGTAAGAAAATTTACCTAGTATAATGAACCCACACACCTTCCTTTATGTGATTACATTGAAGTCAAGGTCTTTGCGCGTTCACAACCCACACACCTTCCTTTATGTGAACCAAAACTACAAAGTCAAGGTCTTTTATTTCATACCACTATAACCCGTAGAAGAAGAGCCACCCATTCCCATGGAAACCTAAGGATGGTCACTGTTCATGCGAATAATTCCCACCCATTACCATGGCAACCTAAGAGCAATTACTATTCACATGAGATTAATTTTATTTATATGTATGAGATTAATAATAAAAAGTTGTAGGTATTTATAACAAAAAATTCTGAAATTTTTGGTAATTTTTCAGAATTTTTTTTCAATATTTTTCCAATTTATTTCTTCGCTCATCTCAGTGCCTTCAGGCACTAGCTCAGACTGGGCTTACCTTCAGGCATACCCAGTCTTGACGAAGCCCACGTCCCCTGCCCGTGCTGGAATTCATTGGTGGAGCGGTTTTTTCAACCCAAGGGACCTTTTGCCATGATAAAACCCCATAGGTGGAAATGCTCCTATGTTAACCAAAACTAATTAGTCAAGATTTTGGTGAGTACAGACAAGGATGGGTTACCGTGTCCACCCTGTCATTAGTTTTGGATTAGCTATCAATTTCATCAATTAAATTCAACAAGAAAATTCAAAATTTGCATTTAAATCTATGAATAAATGCAAGACTGACTTTAACTGAGGTGTAGAAAGAATTTAAAGTCTTCTCCTATCCAAATGAGAAATTATAGAATAGAATGGATACACCACGTCAAAATGTGTATCTTCTACTCAAATATAGCCACGTGCTTAAACTTTTACAGCTAAACTCCACTTCATTTCCTTATTTGAAATTATATTAGAAAAATAAAATTCAAAAACTTTAAAAGAAAAGATAGTATAAAATTACCACGACTAGATTACCTAATTGGAGTGAGACTAATGAGGTGTTTGCTGGATTCGCTCAAGCCATTGGTGTGCTCCCAAGTCTTGGGTTCAAGTTTCTCTCTCTCGTTTATAATTTTGGCAAACAAGAAAGAAAAAGAAGAAGAAGAGTAATTGGAGTGGATAACTGTCGTTGGCACTTAGGTTAGGGTGGCTTTTAGATTTGTGTTTTTTCTTTAATTTTAAGTTTTTAAATGTTTATTCAAAATTAAGAATATTAACTTTAAGGTTAAGTAGTGCAGGTTCAGTTCCTTTCGCTGTAGAGGGGGAGAACACGGATGTGGCGCTTCAAAGTTTTTTACATTATTTATCCCTAAAATTTTTACATTATTTTTTATTTCTAACAAAAAGCCATTAAATAT